ATGGAAAAAGTCAAATGATTTGGTCCTTATATACCAGACAGCAGCATCCATCGCCAGCAATCCCTCGTTCCATATGGAGGCTATGACCTCCTTTCTACATAACTTCCTAAAACGACACCCATCCCAGCAGTGAGGGATCACAGCATTTTCAAGAAATTCGATAGATATCGATCAGATACACATACTAATAGAATCATGTCCCTATCTGCCCAAGTACGTAGTTGCCTAACAATGTTGCGGTGCCTTGATCTTCCCCGTTACTTCCCTTTCACTCGGGACTCGCGGTATCAGAATAGGCAAGTTCCTACCTCTGTATGTGTCCGTCTCGTTATAGCTCGAAACGAAGAAGGGGCCAATGATTCTGAGGGAGCAACTCGTGCACTCGTAAATCGTAACATGCCACCAAGTTGCGACGTACCGTGTTTGTTGATAAAAGGCAGTGCGATCATCTCGGACGAAACAAAACTTACTCGGCATTCAATCCGCAGCATTCACCAGCAAGCAGCAATACTGAAAGAAAGAAAAAATATCAACAGTCGAAGGAAGAGAATCTTTTTAAAGGATATCGCCATGGCTGGTCCGGCACTCCATCTAATTGACCTCAATAACTGCAAGTACGAAGGCGGTCTCGATCGACTTCGCCTCTCCATTGTTCTATCAGGTCTGTTCAGCGAACCAGTCTACCTGACCGAGAGGACGCTCCATCCCATTGGAGAGGGCACCAACGCAGAACATACAACGGCCAACAAAATTCTAACGGGTCTGGCCGTGGGGGTTTCGTCCGTCCACTATTCCCAGAGGGGCACCATTGTCGTGCTGTTCGTCCCACATATGCTCCGTGACAAGAGGCCGTCAAAAATGACTAGTTCTACATTGGATGGCTCAGCTGCCATGCTTTTCCTCACAGTTCTTCCCTATATTCTATTCTGTCACCTCGGGTCTCGGGAATTCGGCGCTTACGACTACTACCCAAGGGATTACATGTTCACGCTCAAAATCACAGGAGGCTCTTACGTGCTCTCTTCCAACGGGCCATCGATTATCTATCTACAAAAAGTCTTTCTTCCCAATCTGAGTTTGCTCGGTATACATCCGAGGTCCTTTGTCGACTTGTCAATGACGAAAGTGGAAAACCGATTTCCTACAGGTAGCCAACCAAACCTCTACATCACTATAGAGGAGCTGGAACTGGAATTGTCTATCAATCCTCTTGTTGCGCCGCTGAAAAGACGCATTGACTTGACCAATCGGGGGGAAATATGGAAAGTAACCGCTTATGCTCATTGCCCAGACTATGTCTCTTCGAGGTTCAAGCAGCTTCTTGAAAACGAGATGTGCGCCGCTTTCCACTACCAGCGAGGGCCCCGTGATACGGGTACCTCTAGTCATGAAGAGAACTCGGACCCGGAGAAGTCGATTGAAGTGGAGTACGTGCAGTTTGTAAATCCTGTTTTTCAACCACGTGAAGCTCACCTCTGTCACGTTCTGTTTGTTGCCGAAGCCTTGGAATCGGGATGCAGCAGAATCGACCCGCGACACTCCCTAGAGCCCACCGAGTCATACATTGGATACGAGCTCACACGCGCATTGCCCATTGAAATCATCCATCAAGTCGACATCCCCAAGGTGGGAGATGTGAATACTGTTGTATCTTCAGACGAGCAGGCTGATGAGTTTATACTGAATCTCATTCGAGATGGTCTGCGTGGACTGCGGGCCGAGCTGCTTCATGGCCATGCCGTGGACAGCCAACAAACCTGGGGGTTCATGTCGCTCTACCAGTTGATGGCTCCCAGTTATGTGGACTGGAACGACGGGAGCAGGAGAGTGACAGCCAAAGCGTTCAGGGAGGACTATCCTGGTCTATGTAAGTCATGATTTGGTTCTGCCAGACTTGTTCCATATCGACTTGTGCATTTCAATCACCAAGAAAAAAAGGGGCAGCTTCATTAACGATGAGTCTTCAAGACGTAACCCCACAACCAAATCCAGCGGAGGAAACAGCTGGAGCCAGTCCCGGTGCTGTCAACTGTTCGACCACAAGGGAGATCTTCCAACATTTCCGGGTTTGGAATAAAGTGAAGGAGACCGAATCCAGATCGCAAGAGACAGGTCTTGTTCGGAAAGGCCTTGGATTAGGTTGGTGAGCGGGTTGCTCCAGTCCGACAAGAGGCGCACGAAGTGACGTTCGGATGGTAAGATTGACCGGTCACAGAAGAGCGTAGACTTAGCGTTGAGATGTAAAAAAAGCGGTATAGATTTTTGATGATAGAACAATAACGACTCGGACGGAGAAGGTATGCGTTCTGATCGGGAAATAGTACCTTACTGGTCTTGCGAAAACCACTTGCATACCTCTCGTATTTCTTTCGCCGCAGTTCTACCATTGGAACTCACTGTGGAAAAGTCAGTGTAGCCTGAAGCAGCGCAGGCGTAGGTAGTCCATAAATACACATACTTTCTGGAAGAACACATGAACTGGGCGTGAGGTGTAGGTATTGTTTTCGTCGTGATGCAAATATTAAATTGACCCCCGGTGGTTTCCCCAGCAACTATCGCTGCCGCCAAGCAGGAAGCTTTCAAGGCACCCCGCAATCTCCTCCACAGAAGCAAAGAAACCCCCCGAGAACCCCCCACACCACGGGGAAGAAGGGCGCTCCAGTCCCCCACCAAACAGGTGATTGCCCCCTTCAGGTTGCAAGCTAGACCCTGTCAAGCATGTCAATCGCAGTGTCCACAGCTGGTTCCTGCCGGGTGAATTGAGGGGAAGGATGGCGCAAACAACCAGGAAAATAGGCTGAAATCAGAGCTCCCCGCCGTCATGTGGAACACCCCCGGCCGGCGCTCAAGGTTGATTCCTCTATTGCCCTGGCATCGAACCCATAACAACTTCCAGTTTCCCGTGTCACAACACGAAATTATACATCCGAATGCGCTGGATTCGGTCCGTTCGGGAGGAAGTTGTGGCGGGTGAGCTTATGTACTTTCCTCTTCGGTACTGAGCCTGTGGTAGCACCATGGAATACAAATTATCGTTCTTTCCCTCGTACCCTCTGCCTTCCCATCTCGTGATTATTTCCTTCATTTTGTGAAACAGCGTCAATGACATCATCGCCTCATTCTTGAGCGACACACTCGAGACTACAAATTCCTCCAGCAACAACAAGCATCACCACCACCACCATCAAGCCAGCAAAGTATAGCTAGCAGCGCATTGGATATTATCGATCACATAACAGCCAACATGTCTGACGCAACCGCCTCCTTCATCCCCTTGGGAGCCATCATCCAGTCCCTCTACGTCGCCGGCACCAACATCGTCCTCGGCTTCCCCTCCCAAAAGGCCTACGAGTCGCACAATGCCTGCTTCTTCGGCGAGACCATCGGCCGCGTCGCCAACCGGGTCAAGGGCGCCAAGATCGACTCACTCAACGGCGGGCAATCGTACACTCTGGCCGCCAACAACGGGCCCAACAACCTGCACGGCGGCGTGGTCGGCTGGGGCAAGAAGGTCTGGGACGGCCCTAAGCCCGTCGGCATTAGGGAGATCCCCGCGTTCGAGGGCAAGAGCGACAAGATTGACGGTGGTGAGAGCGTCCAGTTCACGCTGGTGAGCGAGGACGGCGACGAGGGTTTTCCCGGAAAGGTGGAGGCCAGGGTGATCTACACCGTTAGCAAGGAGAAGGGCGAGGATGGCAAGGAGAAGGTTTTGCTTGGTATTGAATATGAGGCGGAGCTGTTGGATGGTGAGGTGGAGGAGACGGTCATCAACATGACTAACCATTCGTATGTGTTTTCCCTCGTCTTCCCGGTGGACCAGTGTAAGCCGAAAGGCTGACGCTTACGATAAACAGATACTTCAACCTGACCGGCGGCCCTTCCATCGAAGGCACCATCGTCACCCTTGCCACGAACCAGTACCTCCCCGTCGACCAAGGCGGCATCCCCACCGGCGGCCCTGTGCCCTTCCCCAACCCTGCCGTCAAGGCTGGCAACGTCCCATTCACCCTCGGCGCTGCTGAGCCCGACATCGATGACTGCTTCATCGTCAACGAGGACCCTTCGTCAGTTCCCATCGATACGCGCTCGCTGCCTCTCAAGAAGAACCTCAGCGCGTTCCACCCCGAGTCCAAGATCCACCTTGAGGTGTACAGCACCGAGCCCGCCTTCCAGTTTTACACGGGCAAGTATATCGATATTCCCGCGGTGGACGGCGTTCCCGCTCGCAAGCCGCGCAGCGGCTTCTGCCTTGAGCCCAGCAGGTGGGTCAACGCTTGCAATGTGCCCGAGTGGAAGGGGCAGATGTTGTTGAAGAAGGGAGAAAAGTATGGATGCAAAATTCTGTACAGAGCGTGGAAGGAGTAGGGAGATGTGGCGTGGAGGGAAGTGTGAAAAAACAGGCGAGATTAGATACCAACAAGGAGGCACGAATGAAAGTAGTCGTACACGCAATGATGCTCTTGCAGTTCGCTCCTTTGTGCAACTATGGTGGTTTGCAAGTCAGCGTCAACCGAGGCATTGCCAAAGAAGAACGTGGTAAAAATGGCGATGAATCATCACCAGTGTCCTATTCTCCATCCTCATCCTCATCGTGATCCTCATCCTCATTCTCCAAACCCGCTTCATCAATTTCCCTTCCACCCTCGACCGGCGGCGGTGCGGGTGTCTTCACCTCCTGCTTCCTCCACAACCCCGCCAAAAAATCGCTCGTACTCGCCTCCTCAATTCCCTTATCCTCCCTCTTGCGCAAGAACCTCGGAAACCTCAAACTCAGCCCCTTATCCTCCCGCACCAACCCAATCGCCGCCGTGTACGTCGGACTAATCGTGATATCCGCAAACGCCACTTCCCACACCTCCTGCGGCTCAAACCACACATCCGGGTTGCCTCCCGCGTACTCGACAAATCCCGGCTTCGCCACATGTACATTCCTGGGCTCCCCATCGGAACTGAAGGAGCCGTCCTTGTCGTAGACTTCGCGGTTGGCTTTGTAGAAGGAATCGGTGAAGCCCGACATGCACTTGCAAACTGCTTCTAGTGAGCCGGTTTCTTCGTTGCGCACGGCTAGCAGGATTGGTGACCACCACTTGGCTTTGCGGCCGGTGCCGTGCCAGGCGGCGATGGGTATTAGGTCCAGCGTGTCGACGCCGGCCGAGGTGCCGATGTAGTCCTTTTTGACTTTAAGCCAGGAGTCGAGACGCTTGTCGGGTTCGTAAGTTGCTAGGAGGGGTTTGCGGCGCGATTGCTTCTTTTCGTTGGAGTTGGGGTTGGGCGTATCGGAAGATGCTTTCGTTTCTGCGGGATTGCCTTTGCCCATTCCCTTTAGGGACTTTTTGGATGAGACCGAGACCGAGACTGCGACGGCATCGGAGGAGGTAGCGACCTGCTCTTTGGGAATTATTGAGTTGGTATTGTCGTCAGGCCCAAGGGCTTCAAGCTCTGGTAAATTGTCGAGAATCTTGACCATGATACCTTCACACTTGCTATCAACGGCCGACTTGAAGAACTCGAGGACTGTTTCCGACTCTTGGGATGTCGCATCGATGCTTTTGACCCATGTAAAATGGTGCGGTATCTCCACAAAGAGTGATCGCAACATGTCTCGTCGTTCTCGGAAAGATCTGTTGAGGAGTGGTTGTCCATTGAGATACATGAGGTCGAATGCGAACAGACACACGTCGATAGTGATGGTCCCTATCGCAACGTCTTTTCTGGCACGGTTCGTTAACGTCTGGAAATTCTTCAGCTCGCCTGTGGCCCGGTCCACGGCGACCACTTCGCCCTCCATGATGAAGCTCTGGACATCTTCACCCCTAATTTTGGGAACGAGCGCGACGAGATCGGGGTATTTGTCTGTCATGAGTTCTAGATGGCGGGAAAAGATGGAGACAACTCCCCTCTCGTCACAATGGATTTGGGCACGTTGGCCGTCATACTTGTACTCGCAAGCGAAATCACGCCCTTGAAGTCGAGAGAGCATTTCTGACAAGTCCCTGGTGATGCCCCCAAGCATGGGCCGCAGCGGAATGTGAAGTGTTAGACCACATCGCACCAATAACTCCTCAGACACGCCAATCTCGAGCAGTACCGGGACAAGGTCGTTGTAATCTGGATGTCGGGCATACGAGGCCTTGACAATTTCCTCGGCCTTCGCATATACCTCGGCTAGCTCCTCTTTCTTCAGCCTTGCCAGTTGATTTGGGTCTTTCGTCGGGATGTTCGCGCCTGGAGGTTTGGAAAGCAAAAAAGCTCGAGCTAGGGCGATGAGCATAGTGGTTTTGACAGCTCCGATGCGCAACTAATCCATGTTAGCGAGGTGATAAGGTTCGGAAAGACCCAACTCACATGTTGACATAATGTCCTGACGACATATCTGCTTTCTTCGCCTCCGCGAGCATCTTGGAGCAGTTTGTCAACAATCCGTTGCTTTACATCACCGCTGCCCTGCCCCTGAGTCTTGGAGATTTTGACTAGTGACTGGAAGACCCCCTTGATTGTTAACGGTTTTGGCTTTCGTAGAGTGAAGCTTTGTTTCTTCTTTGCCTCAAATGCAACATCGCCCGGGTCACCCAGCTTATCGTTAAGTGCTTTGAGCGACCTGTTGTCGAGGCCACACACTTGTTTGAGAGCCTTTGAGATAGCAGAACCACCCAAACCAAGTTCCATAGACACGTACGGTGGGGAAATTGCGTTCGTTGCCAGCCATACTGCGGGCAACAAGCTGGACGGATCTCCCTCAATCAACAATCGGACACAGTTGACTAGCGTGTCGACAATTTTGATCCTGCTTGTGGTGCTGCTAACCAAGACAAAGCATCGTATAAGGAGGGCGTAGGACGCATCACCTCTATCAGTGGCCCACGATTCCTGGAGCTGGTGGATGTACTTGGATGGATTGAAGGTCAAGGGACTTTCGTCAAGAGGAATAGATGCCGATGCCTGGTCTTCTGTAGCGGCTGCGGAAGAGAGTGACAATGTATTCTTCCCTTTGGGCCGGTCAGCCTTGGGTGGTGCGGTTACTGTCTGTGGATTTGACTCATTGGTTGGTTCAACGCCATCTGTGTCCACGGGCTCTGTTGCCGACACTGCGACATCCTGCGAGCGAACATCATTTTCCCTCGGTGTTGATGAGGCCCTTGCTTCAGCATCCCATTCGGCCTGCAGCTTTCGCGCAAGCTCCTCATCATTCAAATGCTCTTCTGACGACCCTTGCTGAATAGGCTGTGAGTCGGATTCCTTGGGCAAAGGAGATGGTTCCTTGGAAGCCCCATTCTGCTTTTGTTTAGCGAAAAAGTACTCAAGACCTCTGCTAGGAACAGAAAAAGATTGTTTTGTGCCCGAGTTGAGTTTGCGTTTCTTGGCTGGACTGGACATGTTTCGGGGTGGGAAAGTGTTTGGAGTCTGGAGTTCAGAAAGTCACGGATCAAAGAGGCTCATGATGCAAAAGGGTTCAAGGCGGTCTCATAACAAGAAGTCGTCGACAGTTGTTCGGTCTGTTTTTCTTTTCCTGAATGTTTGCATCCGGACCCGGCCGAGTTGATGACGTCTGGTTGATCGCGACAAGCAACAACGCGTTTGCCAGCTGCACGAGCCTGCCACGCGGCCACCTGACCGACCAGCTGTCTCGAGCTGTCGAAGCTGTCACGTCACACGCTTTCCGAAGACGTCGCAACTCGCAAGACCTGCTCGATGTCTCTTTGCCAAGATGTTTACCCCACCAGTGAAGCTAACCCTAATCGGGCTCTAGCGTTCACACACGAAAAACCAGCCCCATGAAAGGGCAGTTGTTCACGGCAGGAACCCCACCATCCGCTCTTTGATGGATTGAGGCCGAAAACTTGCGAACGCAAAAGACAGCAAGAGAGCCCCTTCGACAAGTCGACGCTCTGCATTTGTCCCCCCATCAACTGCCCAACCTCGCCGAAACTCCAGCACCGACCCCCCCGCGCCCACCCATCTTCTCCTCCCTCGCCCCGAAGATAAATACCCCCCGACCCTCAACCAAACTCGTCCTACCTTTTTGCCCATCATGAACGGCGAGGATCCCCAAGAGCGCCCCGACTTCATCCGCGCCATCATCAACGGTCTCGAGCGCTACAACCCTGAAGCCGCTGGCACTCTCGAGGCCTACCTCACCCAACAATGTGAGGAGAAGTTCTGCGATTGCAACGCCAACCGCGCGCTGCTTAAGCTGTACGTCGACACCCTTCAATCATAACTACATCTACTCTCCCCAGCAAAGAGACCTGGATGATGTGCAATCCTAGCATGTATTATCTGATCGTGGAACAATCTCCACGAATGATGTCCAAAATATTAGCTCTATCTGACGACTGGTCTTTCTTTATTCACAACTATAAACCGAAACACCTTGATGAGTACAGTCTTTGCTAACCACAGCCTTGTCTGCCTACCACCCAAACAGCTACCAACTCAACCCCGACCGCATCAAGGATGAGGTCATCACCAACATCCTCGTCAAGGCCATGACCCAGTTCCCCTCGCCCCAGTTCGACCTCGCCCTCCACCTCCTCAGCCCCTCGCAGTTCAACCCGGGCCCCAACTCGTCCTCGGAGCTCACCGAGGCTGTTTCCAAGCTGCGCGCCCTCAACGCCCAGCTCGAGGGTGCCGAGTACGCCCGCTTCTGGGCCACCCTCGACAGCGACGATCTCTACGCCGACCTGACCACCGACATCGCCGGCTTCGAGGACATGATCCGCGTCCGCATCGCCCAGCTCGTCGGCCAGTCGTACCGCGAGATCCAGTTCCCCGTGCTCGAGAGCTGGCTCGGCCTCAACAACTCCGAGGCCACCACCCAGTTCATCACCGAGACGTGCGGCTGGAAGGTCGAGGGCGATCTCGTCCAGATCCCCAAGAACGCCGACAACGAGGCGCGCAAGGCCGAGATTCGCGAGGACGTCAACGTCGACATGTTCGCGAGGGTCATCAAGCGCAGCTGGGAGGAGTCTGCTTAGGCGCCGTCAACACTTGGCAGTGTCGAGAAATGCTGAAGGAACGCAACGAAACGGGGAAGGAAAGGGAGGAAGAAGGTTGAAGAACTGAAGAGACAAAAATCCCTTCTTTCGAAACATGGAGAGAGGGGGGGACAACAAGAAGAAGAGGACGAGAAACAATGGGGGGCCTGATGTCAATACCCGTATAATTACATCCTTCTGTGTGTGTGATTGGGCCCCAATTTCTTGCATCTGGTAGCAAAAAAAAGCTCTGGCGTTTTTGGGTTTTGAGACAAATGTTGAAGAACGGAACTGGACGGGCACGTTTTTATCCCGTTACTGCTGTTGCTAGCTACTTTACACTGTCCTTGGTCTCGGAACAGACAGCCGTTCGCGTAGAAAGAGGTAGAAGTGGGATTCCTGACGGCGGTGACGGATGTCTTGCGGGTTTCTATGGTGTTTGGAAGAGCATACATGGTAGAATTTGTCAAGGGCGTCGGAATATGAAACTATGACATGACCAGTACATGACCAGTTGGTAGTCCCGTCTTTGGCAAGCTTTTCGGCGTGGTTTTCAACTTCCCTCAAAGAGCCCAACGTGTGTATGAACTTGTTGCCGTTTCAGCTTCCCAGCAATCATGTTTTCTCGCTTCGTGATATTCGGAGAGGTAGTTTGGTTCGCATAGTCTAGTTAATCCCGAAAATATCCCCTTTAAACTTTTCGGCTCCCGAACGCCTTTTCACTACCAAACAATACATGACACTGACAATTCTACCACAGTCCCCTTTCATAGACTCCGCTCTCATGTCCATGAATAATATCTCGAATCCTTGACTTATCTCCATGAGCGTCCTTGAGATTTACCGCTTGACACTCAACTCCTCCCACTGCACACCCGCCCACTCCTCCACGTACCCAGCCACGCCCCTCTCAATTCCCCTCGGGCCACAATCCTTTTCACAAACGCCCACAATAATAGTACCCCAATCCATACCATCCATCGAGTCCTCCTCGCATTCCAGCTCCTCAATCGCATGCGGCGTCAACTGCACCTCAAAGACCCTTCCAGCACCGCAGTTTCCACAATTGGGAATCTTTCCCTTGCCAGCAGAAGAAGTGGTAGTCACCTTCTCGTTCGCGTTCGCGGCGCCAGCGGGCACGTGAAGGAGCTTGCCCACCGCATCATTCTTGCTGTACAAAAGTGGCTGTCCCGCAAACTCGTACCGAATCACCTGCTCCGGGTTCTGCCCGACGCGATCGGCAAACCGCTGGAAGACCGCGTCCATGGTGGATTCGAAGACGTCCTTGTCTTCTTTTCCTCCTCCTGAGCCGGAGCCAGAGGCGCCTTCGGTGTCGATGTCCATCGTTTCGATCTTTTGAGGAGGAAGAGCAGGGGTGGGGTCGAGAGTCTCGTAGTCGGCGTCCCAGATCCAGCGTTCAGGGTAGGGAGGAGGGAGAGCGGAGGCGTCGGTTGGCCAGGGCTCGGAGGGGGCCGGGGCGGGAGTTTGAGTCTGCTGGGTGGTGGTGGTGGTGGTGTTGTTGAGGGAGAGGGTTTGCGCAAAGGTTTTGGGGAGGTCATCCTTTTCGGCTTGTTTCTGTTCTTCTTCGTGTTGTTGTTGTTGTTGTTGTTGCTGTCCTGATGTCGTGTCTTCCTGCGGCTTCGGTGTCTCCTGCTGCTTTGGCGCAAATGGGTTTGCAGCAGCAGTTCCCCTAGGCGCAAAAGGGTTCACTGAGGAACCACTACCGCCGGACGCAAAGGGGTTGGTCTTTGCTCCTCCTCCTGCGCTAGCAGCCGGCTTCGCACCGAACAAAGCCTCACCCAGTCCCAGCGTGGAAGCCTTGGGCATCTCCTTCTTCTCCTGCTCCACCGCGGCAGTAGTCTTCTTCTTGTCCTCCTTCGCCGTGGGCGCATCTACTGCCACCCTGACGCCCCTCACGGCTCTGATGCTGCCCTCCTTCCTGCGGCAGCTCTTCCTCCGGCAGGAAAATACGTAAAGACGGCGCTCGTGGCCAGGAAAGTGATCGGGGAGTTCGGCGTTGAGTTGGAGGAGGAGGACCATGTAGTCCTTGCAGACCTTGCACTTGGCGAAAGCGGCCGAGGCCGGGGATTCTTCGTCGAGCCATTCCTGCGGAGGTATTTCTTGGTTAGGAAAAGGGAAGAACCAGAACCGCGATTGGAAAAGGAAAACATCATACAGGACGACCACCGAGGCGGCTAACCTTCTCGCCATTGGAGTCGGCGTCGGCATAGCCTAGAAGGACGTTGGTCTCGGTGAACTCGAGATCCTCGCCCTCGTCTGAGGAGTCATCGTAGGGAGCCATATTTGCTGATAGACGTCCGGTTTAGGTGTCGTAAGATGGACTTGAAATGGTCCGGGAATAGAGTGTTCAGAGGTGTAGGAATGGATACTATCTGGTGGATCACAAATATGTCAAGCATGGAATTTTGTAATTTTTGGCGCCTGGGCAACTGAACTCCAATGCAACAGCGGGACCATCAAATTTTGGCGGGGTAAGTTTTCAGCGGGCCCCGCTGTGATCCGTGGAGTCGGTTCCAGCCCGGTCCCGTATTATCCAGGGTTGTTGATATGGCCCTTGCTCAGACAGGACCAGCCAACCCCTGAGGTGTGGATTATCATGGAAGCCCCAGGGGTATGCGTTGAGGAAATAAGCAGGAAGGACAGCATGAAGTTGTGTTTTTGACCTCTCATCGCCATGTATTAGTTTTTCAATAGGTATCTTACATGCAGACGATTTACACAGTTGTTTAAGAATCGGGACCGTCCATGCCAGGTCCAGGACCTCCAGCCCTACCCATCTGTCTCGCCTTGAGAAGCTCGTCGCACAACAACAGGTTAGATGCGATGCCGGCACTGGAGGCGACGCAGTTCCTCAATACTCTGAACGAATCATAAACACCCTCCAGTGTAGGGTCCATAGGCTCGCCAGTTGCAAGGTCGAGACCAACAACATTGCCCTCGGCTTGCTCGTCTTGAAGAGCAGCGACTGAAGACGAACAGTTAGCATGTGCAAAGCTGGTAGAGGAGAAACATGACTTACGAGAATCTTGAACGTCAAGACCGGCGTTGGCGGCAAGGGTCTTGGGAATAACCAAAAGAGCATCGGCAAAAGCCTCGACACCCCACTTGGCCTTGCCCTTGACCGTCTTTGTGAAGGCATCGCTCTTGAGATGGGCAGCGCAGGCAACCTGGAAAGCGCCACCACCGGGAACAACACTCTTGTCGACAATCATGTTGTAGACACTGCGAAGACCGTCACGGACGGCATCCTTAAGCTGGGTGATGGTGTGCGCATTGGGGCCCTTGATAAGGAGGGTCACGGACTTGGGGTCCTTGACCTCCTCGATGAAAGTGTACTTCTCCTCACCAAGCTGTTGCTCGTAGACAAGACCAGCCCAACCGAGAACCTCCGGTGAAAGGTCGTCGACACTGTTCTGAGCAACACCGCCGCAGACGAGCTGAAGTCTCTCCATATTCCTCCTCTTCGCTCTCCGGAGAGCGAGGATACCGTTCTTGGCCAACACATCCAGAGACAGAGGGTCGATACCCTTTTGGTTGATGATAACAAAGTTCTTGGTGGGATCGTTGCCGCAGACCTCCTTCTTGAGCTCGACGATCTTCTTCAGCTTGGCATCGACGAAGCGACGCTCACTCTCCACGAGCTTGTCCCTCTGCTCGGCACTAGAGTAGAAGAAGCCAGAGTTGATCTCGGACTTTTCGTATTCGAGGGAGACGTTGAGGGTGAGGATGTAGGCGTTCTCAACGCGCTTGGGCATATCGGGATGGCGGGCGCCGTGATCGAGGGCGAGACCGCGGATAAGCTGGGTATCAGAGGCAGTGCGGTGTTGCATGGTCATGATCTCGATCATGTGAAGGTCGGGCTTGGCCGGGGGCTGGTAGATAGCGAGGACGGCATCGACAATATCGGCGGTCAAGCTCTGGGCCAGGCTGGCGCTCAGCTTGGTGGCAAGCGAGGTACGGGCGACGGAGAGGAGGAGCTCGCGGTCGACCTCGCGAGGGAGCTTGAAGTCATCGAGGAACTGCGACAGTGTCAGGAGTGTTCCGCGGGAACAGACAAAAGCGACGAGGGATGCTGACCTTGAGCGCCTCGGTCTTGGCGATCTCGAAACCATCTGTGATTATCCTGGGGTGAAGACCCTCGGAGATGTAACGATCGGCCTGCTTAAGGAGCTCTCCCACCAACAACACCACCGACGTTGTGCCGTCACCGCAAATGTCGTCTTGGGCGGTCGCAGCACGGGCGATCATAACAGCTGTCGGGTTTTGTATTTGCATCTCACGGAGGAGGACGTTGCCATCCTTTGTCAACTTGATCTGTTGTGCATCGCAGGGCGGTCAGTATGCTGTGATGATGGCATCCATCCCCGCCTTCCACCCCCTTTATGGGATTCGTACCTGACCGGCGCCATCGACAAGCCTGCATTGCACTTGTTGTTAGCCAAAAGTAAAACTACAAGATGCCACCGGAGCTTGCGTACATCTTGATGGTGCCCGAGGGGCCCAGGTTGGACTTGAGGACATCTTGGAGGCCCTCACCCGCGGTGATGTTGACCTTGAGAGCTTCGCCCCGCCGCTGTTGACATGGTTAGCAAACAAGACATGCACCAACTCGCTCGGGCCCCGAGGGGCGCTTGACAGAAGGATCGTTCGTACCCGGGACTCGGCCTTGGGGTTAAGAAGCTGGGCAGCAGACATGGCGGATTAACAGTGGATGGGACGAGGATATCGAGATTGTTTGTATAGGAGAGATGCGATTGCGGGGTGGGATGTTCTTTGGCATGTAAAGGAGCTGTTCCCCGATCCTGCGTTAGCTTTTTTTTCCGTCGTGTTCCAGTCCAGGCGACGGTTTGGGCGGAGGCGGCAGGCAGCCCCTGTCGTAGGTCCAGTACAGCTTGTGAGGTGGTCCCGCTCCCGTCAGTGCTGGCATTCTTTCTGGGCGTGCCGTGTCGTGCTGGCATGGAGGGGCGGTGGCAGGCGGTGGGGTGCCCGGCATGGAACAAGAAGGAAGCTAGGACCACCTCCCGCACAACCTAGGTACTGTAACTGAGCTGCCTGTTTCCGCCATCAGGTGGCCTGGCCTTCCATTCCATGTGGATGTTAGTGACATCTCAAGTAATCCCGAGGCAAGGCGATAGAGCGGTACCTTGTTTAACGCGAAGACATGTAGGAGATTGGCGTACTCACATATCACTTTAACGTTCGGCTTCATGCCACTTTCCGATAGCGTGCAACGCGGCTCACCACGACGGGACGGATGGAAGAGCTCTTTATTTGATACCAACTGAACTTCTACCGTATTGAGAATAAAGCTGCGACAAATCCGCTTGTGTTACACCGCGTTCCCTTGGAACGACTTGTCAGAAATTCAACCTCAATGTCAGATAACTCTTTAAATACGTAAAGAAGCGAGTGCTTCCCTCCTCCACCTATTTCTCATACCTTCAAGTTCATGAAAGTGCTTTTGCTTCAACCTATCCATGTAAACGAAAGCAACACAAACCTCCCTATCGCCAGTTCCCAAACACAACATGAGACTGCCATGCGATTTACAGTCCGCCGCTGCGGCACTGCTGTTGTTTACATCGCCAGCTCTTGCCCGCAGAATTCCCGATGTCATCGAGGGGGACAACCTTGATGACAAAGACACATCGGTGCGACAGGTCGCCATCATCGGTGAGTTTCCAGTTCTGTCTTTATTAACATGGGATTATTTTCTTTGCCTCGATTTCTCCGTACACATCGTTTCCACTTGCAAGAAGCTAATACACCACACAGGAGCTGGGGCAGCCGGGTCTTCCGCCGCCTACCACTTGCGCAAGTATGCCGCACAATACAACGTCAATGTCAACATCACCATTTTCGAAAAGACAGATCATATTGGTGGTCGGACTCTCACCATCAACCCCTATGATGACCCCTCACTTCGACTGGAACTGGGAGCCAGCATCTTCATCGAGAAGAACTACATCCTCAACCAGTCGGTGGAGGAGTTCGGCTTACGAAAGAAGGATCCCGACGTAGGCTCCGACCCTAAAATGGGAATCTGGGACGGCGAGAAGCTTGTCTTTGAGATTGACACGAGCAGCAGCTGGATCTCCCAGCTCTGGCACATCGTCTGGAAGTACGGCATTCGGACCCCTAAGCGGACAAATGACCTCGTTCAGGAGACTGTTTCCAAATTCTTGCGCATGTACGAAGAACCGTACTTTCCATTCAAGTCCCTGACACAACGCGCATATGATCTCGATTTGGCCCCTGCTACGGGGGCGACTGGCGAGGAGTTCCTAAAAGCGAATAATGTAAGTTGCGAAACGAGTCTTGGTCGACTGTTTGACTGACAGAGTCCAGATTTATGGTGCTTATGCCCACGACATTGTTCAAGCCAGCACCCGGGTCAACTACGCCACCAATATTGGACGCCTCCATGGACTCGATACCATGGTTGCGATGGCGCCCGCGGGCGCGACAGCTGTTCAGGGTGGCAACTGGCAAATATTCCAGAAGATGGTTGAGAGATCGGGGGCGACCATCATGCTCAACACCTCGGTGTCATCTATCTCTTTCGCGAAAACCGGAAGCGAAGACACCACTTCCGCCAGGTACAGGCTCCGGGCTATCCATTCGTCATCCCAGGAGGACACATCCTACCCAGTGGAGTTCGACAATGTCATCCTCGCCAATCCGTACCAATTCAGCGATATCAACATCGCGGATGGTGTGCTGGAAACCCACATTGACGAGATACCTTATGTGCGGCTTCATGTCACCATTTTCACCTCGCCCTTCCGCTACAGCCCCGGATTTTTTGGTCTGGAGAATTCCAAAGCTCTCCCCGGAACAGTGCTAACAACACTCGGCAAGACTGATAACGCTACATCGGGGGTGGCAGGCGCGGGAAGCGCTGGCTTCTTCAGCATCAGCATGTTGCGTAAGCTGGTGAATCCCAAGACTCAGAAGGAGGAGTACGCCTACAAGATCTTTTCTCCTGAAAAGGTCACTCCCGAGTTTCTCAGCCGTCTCTTTGGTGTCAAGGTCCCAGAGACGTTTATCGCCGAGCCAAACGACCAGTCAAGTGCTGAAGTCAGCCCCATTTCGTGGTATTATCCCCATGTGTTTTACTCGTATCCCAAGGCCGAGCCTCGCGTAACATTCCAGGACCCCATTGTCGGAGCCGGCTTTTACTACACGTCTGGTATGGAGAGCTTCATTTCGACTATGGAGACTAACGCTTTGATGGGCAAAAACGTGGCGAGACTGATTGTGGATGACATGAGGGGAGTAGAGAGCGGAGGTGTCCAGAGTCATGATGGTAGCCTGGCGCCAGGCCAACAGCTCAAGATGACTTGTGACAGAGCAGGAAGAGGCGCTGGTAAGGGAGGAGTGCGGAAGGCGGGTGAAGTTCCCAAGACACGGCCTACGGAACTGCCCGAGATGCCGCTGGTGGACCTTTAACGCACACGACCCTTTTCTATGCAGAGAAAACCAACCCTTTGGGGTTTTCAGTTGTTCCTTGCTTTTCGAGCGTTTGTCCTTGGTTAGTTATGGTAGATAAGAGCGAAATGGTAGGTAGATGAGACTCGAAATCACACACTATTCTAGCTTGTGCTCATGGGAATCTCCTGGCATCGACAAGATGGCACAAGGGCCGTTCATGATAGGTGGTGTCGGATGACGATTCTTAACAGATTCTGGTGATGATTACGCTGCAGAACATTTAGTAGGGCATTAACAGTCAAACGCCTCCCTTTGTTGCCTGTTGAATGTGAGACAAGCATGAGCGGCGGCACGCATCAATGTGACTTGGCTTTGTTCTTGGCTTTTGGCCGTGTGTGGCGTTGAAGATTTGGATATTGATTGGCTCGTGCAATATGCACCGCCACGTCCCGCCCTGTTATGACGCAGCTTTTTGCACGTTCCGCGTGGTACCTACACACTGCACTGTCTCCCCCAGAGTCGAAGCTGGCTGAGTGCTGCCCTGCACTCGAGGTTGGTTCCAGAAGGCAAGGAAGGCCAGAACATGCAACTGAACGTCCCCACTGATTAGAGCGCTATCCTCTCTATCTCTTGGGGTCTGTTTACTTTCCCCCTTCGACATCATCCTCCTTCCCTTCAACTTTCACCGTCAGCGACAACGCACCGTGCACGCCGGGTGCTCGCTGAGCAAGCTCATATCATCACGTCCAATACGATTAATCAAGTATCATATTGACCGACGGCAGCAATGTTTGTCCTCAGAGGAGGTAAGTCGTGATGGGCAGATCAAGCCCGAATCCCCCTCCCCCACCGTTGGCATATGATCGCTGGCGTCCCTGGTCAGTGGTGGGAGCATCCATCCACCAGGAAGCAACGCTGGGCTAGCCCCCGCAACGCGCCCACTCTACTACACCTCTTGCCTTCCTCACGATCGACGCACACCACGCCCATTCAACCTTGACCCATCACATTACCCAAACTACGCGAACGTCAACTCTTCAAAGCCTCGTTACGATCATTGGCTGACTTTTACCCTATAGCGGCCAAGCTTCTGTTTGGTTCCGGTAACAACCAGGAAACGCTAGTTGAGCTTCCCCAAGGCCAGCTCTACCTCGTCAGACCACTTTCTCCCAAGGGATATTCCGAACTCCTCTTCAAGGACGCCTCGGCGCGCATTCGTCGCACTGCGCAAGACTTCCAGTACCAGCTCGTCGTACAGCGAGTATACGAAGAGGGAGAGGCCGAGTTGCTCGCCGAAGAGGAAGGTGAGGACGCCGACATCGACGCCGACATCCTCGCTGCCGAACGCGACGAAAAGACATTCTTACTCGACGAGGCCCTTCACTTGCGCGTTGAACAGAGAGAAGGTGGTGATCACGTCCTGGCCTGGCGCGATCTGAGCGGAGACGTGGGAGACGTCTACGAGTTTGTTTGCGACACGGCCATCTCATCCTCGCTGGTCGATCAGTTTGAGCTTGCCGCCAAACAGTGCCAGTACGAGCGCAAATATCGCAAGCCAAATACCTTGGCTACGGAAGAGGACCTTCAGCAATTCGACTTTTTTGACGAGCCACCGATTCCCCAGGCTAGTCCCATCCACAGCCCGGCCCTCCTTACGCGATCAATCGACTCCATCGACGCCATGCCTCTACACTCAGCCAACACCAGCGTCAAGCGGGAGAACGCTGCTACAGGCTCCTCTACGCCCGCCAAGTCTACTCCCGTCAAGTCTACTCCTGCCAAGAAAGAAAGGAACTATAGCCCTCCCAAGGCCACGGTACCTCCCGAGGCCCGTGAGGTTATGGCCGCCGAAAAGGGAGAGCTACATTTCTACGACTTTCCCTCAGGATCATTTGTCCTTCAGGCCGATTCGGTTACAGCAACAGTCTCCGAAATTGGCAACTGGAAGTACTGGTTGCAAGTCTCGACTCCCGACCGCGAGTGGCTCGGCATTCCCATTAGCTCGGAGATCAACCCAGTCTTCAACCCCGAATATCTCTCTTTCATCTTCAACCAGTTCACAGACGATGGCTCAGCTTATTCGTGGCTACTGCGCTTCAAGGATCAGCCCACCCTCGACCGATTCCAAGAGGGTCTGACGTCTGCTCTCTGGGAACAACAGAATGAGATGAAGTGGGGCAAGATCAAGGAGACTGAACAGAACTACGTTCTCGATGCATTCAATGATCTGGTACTTGAAGACCAGCCTGTCGAGGAGGAGGAAGAAGAGGAGGAGTTTGAGGATGCCGATGATGATGGTCCCCAAAGCGAACACTACGACACCGACGAGGAGGAGGACGATGTTGAATACAAGCCCAAGGACACCGACACCAACAAGTCGATCGCTGTTGGTTACAAGCACGATCGCTCGTTTGTTGTCCGCGGCTCCAAGATTGGTGTCTTCAAGCATACGCCCAGCAACCATCTCGAGTTCAGCACAAACATCTCCAAGGTCGAGACGCCAAAGGGCGAGCTCTTCTCGCCTACCAAGGTCATGCTTCACAATGAGGATCGGAATCTTGTCCTCCAAAAAGATGGTGACCCGAACAAGCTGTATCGCATGGATCTCGAGTACGGCAAAGTCGTCGACGAGTGGAAGGTTCATGACGACATTCCTGTTGTCACCTTTGCACCTGAAAACAAGTTTGCCCAGATGACTCACGAACCTACCTTCCTGGGTATCAGCCGAAACGCTCTCTACCGTATAGATCCCCGTGTTTCTGGTACCAAGCTTGTCGACAGCCAGCTCAAGCAGTACGCGAGCAAGAACGACTTCTCCGCCCTCGCGACTACCGAGAAGGGTTACATCGCCGTGGCATCCAACAAGGGTGACATTCGTCTGTTTGACCGCCTCGGCATCAATGCCAAGACACACATTCCCGCTCTTGGTGAGCCCATTCTCGGTCTCGATGTTTCTGCCGACGGTCGCTGGGTCCTTGCCACGTGCCGCAACTACCTCCTGCTGGTCGATGCCCTGCAAAAGGGAGGCAAGAATGAGGGCAAGCTTGGATTCGAGAAATCCTTTGCTGCCGACTCGAAGCCTCAGCCACGCCGTCTCGCTCTGACTCCCGAGCATGTGGCCCAGTTCACGCATGAGACTGGCAAGCCTGTTAACTTCACGCCTGCAAAGTTCAACACTGGTACCGGAACTGAGGAAACCAGCATCATTACCGCCACTGGTCCGTACATCATTGAGTGGAACCTTAGGAAGGTACTCACCGGCAGGAAGACACCGTATCTGATCAAGCGATATACGGACGATGTCAAGGCCGACGACTTCAAGTTCGGTACAGACAAGAATGTGATCGTCGCACTTCCACACGAGGTCAACATGGTTGATCACACTCGTCTCAAGAAGCCGACAAGAGAGAGCATTGCTGGGGATTTCCTCGACGCCGCGAGGAGAGGTTCGAGTAACAGGGTCGGTGGCCCTCGGACGCCGGCTGTTCAGAGGCTGAAGAGGGAAGACATCGTCAACTCGCCGTATTAAACGGTGATTGACTCGGGAGATTTGCCATGAATATTGATGACTTTGCTTTTTTCCAATTCTTTTACGCAAGGCAGAGTAGGTGGACAGCTGCCTGTTTGACGACACGATTACGATGGAGACCTTAGTGATGCCCAGGAGTTTATGGTTTCAAGCTGGTTTGATGTCTTGTATGAGAGGTTTTCTGCAGACTTTGGTGATGGGTGATGGATTGGAATGAGTTCTATGGTTTCCTTCAGTAGCTAGGTATGTAGCAAGACATATGTTTGTCTACTTGTTGACCACCCGTGACTCTTAGGAAACGTGTAATGACCTCTACGTTTGTCACTTATGGCTTCTCGGAGATGTGCATCGATATCAGCACTTTGAGACCTCGAAGTAGGTCCTGGCAAAGTAAGCTCCAGGGGTAGGTACGCTTCCAAATGTTGCTCACTGCCTTGTCTACGTGACGTGGGTTGGGTCAAATGAGATCAGCAAATGCCAACAGGCTCAGCATGGTCCTTCTTTCGGCCAAATTTTGTCAAAGAAAGGCGAGAATGACTGACTGTGGACTTTGAACTGAGCGGGTACAAAACATCAATTTCTGGGATAACACATGATCACAACGGCTCATTCCAACATCGACCCAGACATTTATACCATCCTTCTTGTTTCCTTATCGGCGGTACGAACCACCACCTTGCAAGTCTATATTACCCCATACATACCTAGTATGCATAGTCTCACATCACCCATGCCTGCAATACACCATGTCCTCCTTAATCGATCGAGCAACTCGCCGCACCTGCGCCGACCAGACAAACACCCACTCAACCGCCAACATGAACCCCAACCAAACCTTTAGCGAATACACTACCTCCGGCACAGCGCCCACCACAGCGGGCTTCCACAAGCACGACATCCTCAACAAGCTCGATCCCCCGAGTGGATAGCAGTATGGATCATTGGCCCATTGCCGCCATGGCCGCCGCAGAGGGTACCTACGAACACGACCATCACCACCCAGTTCCTGTCACCACCTAGTATACACACTTGCATGGGCCCAAGCATACACGGCGCTATTGGTCCTCCCACGATTAGTATAGATCCCATCACACATACAACAACCAACAGCAACATCAGCACGAACACTAATACCCCTTGAGTGATTTTGGGGGGGGGGGGGGGGGGCATTGAAACTGCATTCGCTTCATTCATATTGTAGTTATGTACCTTGTGACTTGATTGTACCGTTGTGTGAAATGATCCTCTAGTATAGGTGGAGAAAGACATTGAGCCGAACTGTCGCGACCAAGAAGACCTTCTAAGAAACCCAATAAATACCTGGCTGTCCAACCCTCATAGGGTCAACCCCCTATCCAACCCCGCCCGACAAATGTGTTGTCGAATCTCTTAGCGTTGTAAATGTTGTCCAAGATAAAGATATTCGTTTTGCTGGCTATCGGTAGCATCGAGGTATCTCGACTTGAAGTTGGCGTTTGATTTTGACAACACAGACTGGGGAGAGGTATGGGAGGTTAAGGCTTGTGCTGCGGTCTAGATGAAAGAGTGACTATGTATGTTAATGCTTGATCAGCCCGGAGGCTTTGAGAAGAGGCTGGTGGTGGTAGGCAAAGTCATGTTCGTGCGTCGTTGAGGTGATTGGAGTTCTTTGAAGAGGGGGGACGTACGGTGACCAGACTTAGAGTAACGTTTCACCATTCGTCTTTTCCACTCTCATTTATCTTTCGACCATTGCAGCAGAACCACAAAGCTCCTCTTTACATGTAGCTAGGGTATCTTAGCTGGAAAAAGAAGGGGACTCTGGGATGAATAGAGGTGAAGGAGGGGGTCGGTAACGAAGAAAAAGAAGAGAAGAGACCAAAGGAGCAAGTGTTGTGATACCGCCCGTTATGTACTCATTTCGTTTATCCTTGAGGTGGCTCATTGGCTAAGCTAACATACCTGATGTATAATGCAAGTGTATCTATCGAGATGTGTGTTGGGACGACGGCGAAGCAGAACAGTCGATTACTTCAAGAGGTAGACTTGGCATGCATTTTCCCTCGTACGTTCTGTCACATTACACCGACAATGCCTCAATGCCCACTTCAGGCTGACCTGGTTGACCAATCGTTTCCTATCTGATCAACGTCGACCAAGAAGCCCCGAAGGCAAGAACGCACAGCCACCCGATCAACTACATTCGCCCCTCTTCCTCAAGCCGCTCAGCCCTATTCCCATTCTCCCCTGTAACATGTTAGCCGAACAACTCCTTTTATGTCCAGATACAGATTTTCCCTCATCAGTATCACGCGTAACTGCCAATCCAATCCCAAGCCCAACACCAACTCCGACCGATTCCAATCTCGACATCATGACCTCCATCTCGGCTGGCAACGGCGCTGTCCTCGGACCCTGGCCCCCTAACCTCCCTTGGAGGTAACCGTCGATTGCCTTTGTTTCCGAGCTCAGGGCGCAATTTGTGATGCCGTCTGCCGCTAGATTTGTTGGTTCCCTGGTAGCAATATCATTCACTCCAACTTCAAGATTGACAGGCTTGGAGATCGAGGCCGGTAAAAGCACCTGATCCCATGGCGCGATGTTTTTCGGGTGTGTGGCTGATGCTTGACGGCGGCGGTTGGTGCTGGTGGTGCTGGCGCTGAGTGTACGACTTAGAGCGGAGTGATGGAGTGTTGTTGTCGTACCGTCTTTTAGACGGGTGAAGAGGCTGCCGCTGCGGCTGCGGAGGCTGCTGCTGCTGGTGGTGGTGGTATTGGTTGTCGTGGTGGAGGAGTTGGTTGTGCTAGACTTTGGCTGAAGAGTACCGGAGGGGGTGAGGAAGGAATCAAATGTGTGGGAAGTAGAGGTGGTTGTGGAGTTACTGGATTCGAGACCTTTGGGTGTTGACTTCAGATCTGGCTCGGACTTGGAAGATGTGATTTTTTGAATGTTGAGCTTTGGGGCTTTGGTAATCGTTATGGTGAGTGCCGTCGAGGGCCCCAGGCGGCGAGTCAAGAGGTCAGGGTTGGATGGATTGGCCTGGTCAACTGGTGTCGGTAATGTTGTAATGATTTCGGGTGGAGGAGGACTGGGTGGATGGTAGGCTGGTTCTGAGAGCTTGTTGGTGCTCCTCAACTCTTTATTGCTTTCATCAACCTCGGTAAGTGCCTTCAAGGTAAGTTTGGCATGTGGTTGTGTCTGGGGTTGGCTTCGACTTTGACGATAGGCAGCTGGGCTAGCTGGGAGGCCTGGACTGATGACCGGACCCTTCTTGCTACTACTGCTGCTGCTGCTGCTTGTGCCGGGAACAGACTTGGCGCAAATACTGGCTGTGTTTGGTTCACTTTGGCTGTTTAGACTCCTATCCGTGCTTTGTTGTATATTTGTGGTCTGTGTCTTCGTAGGTGTTGCTGACTTGTGCCGCTTGATAGGACCGGGTTTGGGAAACCTTAGGTCGAGGTAGACCGCGGTGCTAGAAGGCCGGTGTAAGGACTTCTGACCTGCTTGGTTGAACTCAATCTCGGATTCATCGTCAGAAGCCACATAAGTTGTGTTGGACGTTGTGGGAGAAGAAGGCTCGGATAAGTCTATCGGGCTTGGGACTTCGTCTCGTTGGCGGAACTCGAACTCAATTTGTTGTATGGCGATATGGGTATGGAACGGGCAAGCCAGAACATTCCCAGAAAGTTTCTGGAGTTCTCTAACCTCCGTGGATTCGCCGATGGGACAGTAACTGTGGCCGTTCTTGATGGCTGTCTTGCATTTTAACCATTGGAGGTAGTAGTGCCGTCGTCCTTTGGGGCACCCGATGTAGGGGGTGTAACAGAAGGTGCACATTTTGGAGGTTAGAGCGAGATGAACCACTTTCGAGCGTTCTGAAGAGGTATTGGATTTATTGACTGGCTATGTAAGACTATAGCTCGTTATATGTATTCGATACTTTCCAGACCTACCGGGGTTTGTACATAGTCAACTTGATGGGATAACAGTTAGCGCTCGGCAGTGTCCGTGTTCTCGAAAGTAGAAGTACACCATCTCAAAGCTGGTAGTTCAGACCGGGTATATTGAAGAATATGCCGACTGGAGACTCAAGGAGATGGTCCGGGAAGGGCCCGTAAGCGCTGGGTGTCCTTCGCCAGGGGCATGAGGTCGTCTGCGAGTAAGCGCGCCGGCCACCGTATCATAAGCGCGGTTGCTCCCGTTGTGGACCACCCTGTCTGAATGTGAACACCATGGAGGCGTTGATGAGCATGATAGAGCCCCTGGGCGGTATCGTGACTTTCCGTTCCCAATTCGTCCGATCAGGTTCGCGGGTTAGAGTCGAGTTGTTCCATCGATTATCTCTAGGCAGGTAGAGGTAATTTATGGGAGGACGAAAGTTGAACAGATGAAGAGGAAGGAAGACGCACTGCAGTCGGATGTTGGTTCCCTGTTGAGTGCTGTGTTCGCCGGCGCTATTAGCCGGCGCCATGTAACAGCGAGCGCAAATGATTGTAATTGGTCATGTTGATTGATGATGCTTGAAGGGGTACCTCTACGTACCTGTCCTAGTCTCCTAGTTCAACGCCTGCGGCAGCAGGAGACAAGGGCCACTTTGCAGTGCATCTGCCGCGGTCCAAAAAGCACCTCCAGGTCGGGGCCCATATATTAAGGAAATAGTAATTCTGAGACTTTGTATAGAATCCACCTTCATCCATCGCGGAATTACCATCATCCATGTTGTTACATGACTGTAGCAGTCTCCATCGCTGTGGTTTGGCGGTGGTCATCTTCCATCATAACATCATTAGTGCCATCTTCCTATCAGATCATTTCTTCGTCAGGGAGGGAGTGTCTGTGGTGATGTTAATAGTGGCCGCGCGAGCGCGACCTGGAAGATCAAGACCAGCACACGGCAGCGGGCGGCATGTCGGGGTCGTAGAGTCAAGGTTGATGTTGATGTTCAGAGGCTCAGGACCTCAACGGCGTCGACTTCACGTTAACCCTTCCACTTTCCTTACCTCGAACCTCAAAGATTTTATTGAAGCAGCGTGTTTATAGGTGGTTCGACGTTTCTGGTCTGGTATATGTCAGCATTGAACACTGAGCCGCCCAGTTGGTGCTCGCTAACTTGCTGCCTCCCGTCTCTACAGATACTGCCCGAGTGTCACTTGTCCCCAAGCACCAAGCACTCCAGTGATGCGAGAATGTTCATCGTCTCGGCTCAAAGTGCCGTGTTTAATTTAGCCAATCCTGTCCGTCTAGTGTCTGGCCAAGAAATTTTAATGTAACCTACCCGCATGGTGTGTGTATGCAGTATGACGTTAGGGCTGAGTGTGTGGATGTTGTGTTCAAGTGAACTTGTTTCCCTATCAACCTGCAGATGATGTGGCGATTCCAGCTCAAGTTAACCGGTATGAGTGAGCAAAAGCACCGTTGAGGAATTTGATAACCGAAACAAGACCCCTGACACTAGTTCATCCTTCTTCTTTCACTATTGATCACGACTGCAACACAAGCTGGTCATTCTTGTCGACGACAAACACAACATTGATCTCTCTCAACCCCATCCCAAAACTAGAACACCAAGGTCTCCGTCAAGTCACTGAACACATTCCATCAACATGCCAGAACGCCGCGGGCGAGGACGAGGCTCAGACAGAGACCGCTACCACCACGATGACGACTACTCAGACCTCTCCGACTACGACCGTCCCTCCCGATCAACAACAGCACCTCCCAAGCGCCACCGCTCCATAAGCCGTCGAGCCCTGGACAGACTCAGTTCCACATTTGGTAATCTCGGCCTCAACAAAGATAAAGACGTACGACCCAGGTCAACCGGCCGCCATCGTGATGGAGGACATGGGGACGACTCCGACGACGACACTGACTATAGCACCAACTACACCCACACCCACAACAACAACAACCACAACAAGAAACGTTCCTCCCGATCACGGCACCACTCCCCCGACCGCGATCACGATCGCGGCAGTGGTACCCGTTCCTCCCGCTACCCGCCTCGAGCCAATCTAAACCGTCAACGCTCCTACTCGTATTCCCCCGAGCGATACGAAAGTACTAGGCGAGGGAGAAGCAGCCACCGGAGCGGCACGGGCTACAGCGGCCGGGACCCACGTTCCAGGAGCCGATGGGGACGAAGCATCGACGCCGCGCTCGACGCCGCTGCCATTGAGGCCATCAGGGTGCGCAAGGAACCTGGTCCGTGGACGGGCAGGAAAGGGTCAAGGGTGTTGACGGCGGCGATGGCGGCGGCGGCGGTGGGGGCCGCGACGGATCATCGGAAGGTGAATGGGGATGGGAGGGAGGATACCAAGGGGAAGATTGGGAGTGCGTTGGGCGGGTTGGTGATTAATCGGATGCTGAATGGGCCGAAAAAGGATTTGAAGAGGGACTTGAGGTATTAGGTTGAGTGGTGGAGAAAGGGGGCAGGGAGATGGCTCAAGTACGTTATGGGGTGTCAAAGCGGGCTGGCATGTGTCCAATTCATGAAGTCATGACTGATGAAAGGATCTTGGGTTAGATATCATGATATACTAGTACGATGGTTCTTCGTGAACTTTATAGAGAAGGGGAAAAAAAAAACGGTGTGCGTCTTGAGAGACAAGCACTAACAGCTGCGCGCAAGTGGCGCAGACGGTGGGCATGATGATGGATCAGTGCAGTATTGGGCAGTTCACGGGCGGGCAGTTGATTAGTGTTGTTCACAATAGGATGATGGTTCAATTGGGATTGCCTTCTTCGATGCCCTCAGTTTCAAATATTGGTGTGAAAGGGGGGGGGGTTGTCGAGGGGGTGGAGTATGGAAGCCTTTTGTAACAGACTGGTGTTTTGGTCTCTTTGTTCAACCTCCAGGACTCTGGACTGTGAAAGCGACAAAAGGAACACCACAAATCAAAGGAAGAGATCTAAAAAGAAAGTTCAGCACTTATTCATGAAACGAAAAAAAAAGATATTTTCTATGATCCGACCCAGGCTCGATCTGGGGACCTTCAGTGTGTTAGACTGACGTGATAACCAACTACACCATCGGACCAATTGATATTAGCTACAGTCAAATCCGTGATTCGTATACTATCTCGTGCATCACAGACGTGCCCTCAGCGATATACTTTATCCAAGTTGAAGAACTACTTTCCAGGAGCATATTCCCCATGCTGCAACGCCTCCGGGTTATGCTCTACATGATGACCATGCTGGTCGGTGAATAGCGCCTGTTTGATTCGATCATCTCCGTTAGCACCCTACCTAATGACCCCAATCCCTTCTGGGCCAAAACTCACCTTGGGCGGGTGCTTCACCCCTTCCTTCTCTGCCTCCTCCTTGGTCGTGACAATTTTTTCCACTTCACCTTCATGTCTTCCACCGCGGGAGCGAGCAAATACGTGGTCACCCACATGAATGGGCTCGCCGTTTTTGTCTTTGAGATCTGAGGGCATTGTATTATGATTTGCGCTTGCAACTTTTACTTGTAGGGTTGGAAAAGAGTACGCAGAGCCGGAATAAGGGTCTTTTGCCGTTGCTCCAATGAATGGAATTTGGTGATGAAGTTTATTTAGATCTTGAACGTTGAGGAATGCTTGGTGAGCTTGGGTGCGGTGATGTGATACGGCGAGGAAAAATGACGTCATCGATTATCGAAAGGATCTACTAGAGGTACCCGACAACACAACATCAGTTCGAAGGACTGTCGATATCATGATCAGACCAAACACAACGTAAACCTTCATATGCTCAACTACACTAATATGGGAGAGATATAGTATGGGTTCCGGATTAGCGCGGAGCTAAACCGGCCCAAACCGGATAAGCAGTGTTTTCCCAGGGGTCTTGGGTCTGGATTTCCCTTATGGCGCGGGTGTAGCCGAAGAGATGGCCGACGTCCTGGCGATCCTGACTTAGATGACACTTGGAGGTATCAGAGGTATGAATTTGACTCGGATCCATCCTGTGGGTGGTCCGAAAACGGGTAGACGGCGGGCAGCCGTTATTGACGTGAACATGGATCACTCACTTCGAACGGCTATCACCCACTTGACTATCAACTTGGCACACGCAGACGGCTAAGAAATTGCGTTCCTAAATCAACGCCTGGCTTGATGCTATCTCTATTCACTTGTTATTCTTTTTGATCATCCCTAGGCATTCTCCCTTCGCCGGGCACCACAACAAGTCAATAATGACAATAATAAGTTGCCATTCCATAAAACATAATTCCCGTTTTCCCATAATGCTGCCTATTTAACAACTGCAACCTCTTTGGTTCCCGCTAACACTGCTCAACTCGTCACGAAACAACAAAAAGGACGAACGACCGAAATCTTCTATAAACCCAACTCTTGCTGCCAGAAGCCGCCATCCACTCACGATTCTTGATTGCCAGTAAGGTTGGTGGACTTCAGGGCATCCGTCACACCCTCAATAGCCTTATTGGCTGCGTTGGCAATACCCTCGCGGATGGGATGCTGCTCTTTTTGCGCATCGGCGTTCTTTTCAGCCTCTGCGCTTATCCTTGTCAGCTCGGCAACGAAGCTCTGGCCCCACCAGGCGCTGGTGTACTTGAAGACATAGCGTTCAAGCTTGCGATAGTTGGCCTCGCGCTGCTCGGGACTCATGGTAACGGCGTCGTGGATCGCATTCGCGAGCTCCTCCGTGTTCCAAGGGTTGACAATCAGACTTCCGTTCAAGCTTTGGGCTGCGCCAGTGAACTCGGAAAGGATCATGACACCATGACGTTCACGCTGCGTGGCAATGTACTCGTACGAGACGAGGTTCATTCCGTCACGGGTGGAGCTGACCAAGCAGACGTCGCTGACAGCATAGAGGGCTGTGAGCTCATCGAAGGAGACGGACTGGTGTAGGAAGTGGATGGGCATGAACTCGACCGTGCCGAATTTGCCGTTAATGCGGCCGACAAGCTCATTAACAACGGCGCGCAGGTTCTGATATTCCTCAACGTCCTGTCGACTTGGTACGGCAACCTGCACTAGCACAATTTTCCCAATCCACTCGGGATGCTCAGTAAGGAAGACCTCGAGGGCGTGCAGCTTTTGCGGCACTCCCTTGATGTAATCGAGACGGTCGACACCAACAATCAGCTTGACGCCCTCGAACTTGCGTGTGAGCGCGGCAATACGTTGCTGGACATTCTGCTTCTTGAGGCCCTCGACAAACTTTTCGGGATCGATACCAATGGGGAAGGCACCAACAGTGACAAATTTGCCATTATAATCGACGCCGTTAGGGGTGGTCGGTGTTTGGCTGTGAAATTGTTAGTCCAAACTTAACGATCATGCGCATCGGAGTGCTATGGCTGTTTCGACTTACAGAATTCTGGAACAGCTGCTCAAGAAGTGCCTGGCGTAGTCGTAGGTGTGGAAGCCAATCAGGTCGCAGTCGAGGATACCCAACAGAAGCGCTTCCCGGACGGGCAAGATGCGGTAGATTTCACTGCTGGGGAAGGGGGTGTGAAGGAAGAAGCCAATCTTGACGTTCTTCTTGGTGTCGCCGATCTCCTCGCGCAGCATTTGGGGAAGCAGCATCATGTGATAGTCGTGGACCCAGACCATATCTCCGTCCTGTACATCCTTGGCAACTTCCTTTGCGAACAAGCGGTTGACCTCACGGTAAGCAGCCCAGGCGGACTCGTCGAACGTGATCTCACCGGGGTGGTAGTGGAACAGCGGCCAGAGGATGGAGTCTGTGGAGGGGCACCGATGTCAGACAAAGAAGCGGATAACAGAAAGTGGCGAAGCTGCTACTGCTGCACTTACTCGCAAAGCCGTTGTAATGACGATCAGCCAGCTCGTCGTCAACGAATACGGGAATGGCGTCGTATTCCTCCTTCAGGCGCTGCTTCATGCCGGCGGTTTCGGCCTCGGGAACTTCCAAGCCTGGCCATCCATACCATTGGAACTTTGTACTCTTAGCCAGGCCGCTCAAGCCAGTGACGAGACCGCCAGAGGACATGGAGAAGGTGTATTGGCCGTCATCGGCGCGCTTGATGGTGATGGGCAGACGGTTGGAGATGAGCAGCAAGCGGCCGGAGCCGGTTGGTTGGATGACACCGGGCATTGTGGCGGATGTGTTTGTGGTGGTGGTGGTGGTGGTTGATGATAGCGGATCGTGGCGGGGAGGACCGATGATGTATTTATTGGATGGGCGGGGATGCTTCAAAACAGCGGCGTCGCCAAAAGTTGGAGAGAGCGGGACGGGTCTAGCTGTGCTGGCTGTATTGATCGAATGCGCAGGCCCGCGGCAAAAGAGATGGGATATGAGGGAGGATGTATAACGGGGTAAAAGGAGAGGAGGAAAAGAAGGATGACAGGAAAAAGACGGGACGAGGTAGCAAATGCAATCAATGTTCGAAGATCGGAAACTTGGAATGGCTGAGAAAGAAGCGAACAACGAATGCAGTACGTCAACCGGGCAACCCAGGCCCCGATGAAGCACTAGCGGACGCGCAGCGCTGTAAGAGCTTGGAAGCGGGAGGTGCTAGCAGGTGCAAAGGCGGGGCACTGTCAGAAGCAGCGGGAAACGCCAAGCAAGTGCAAATGCAACCGTAGGTGGGGCTGATTGGCGGGTGTCGAAGACGGATGGAGCATGAGCTCCAAAAATCGATGATCGGGATCGTGGACCGGAGCAACTACGGCGGCCGGGGGACGAGTAGAGGTACCTACATAGGTATGTACCAGACAGCAGAATACGGGGATGGACGGTGGTCGATAGGTACAAATAAGGACATAAGTGGCCAGAAGGAAGGCCTGGATTGGAAGAAAGAAAAGGCACTTTGTAAGTTCAGTAGATCTCGAGACCAGATGGATGCTTTTCAAGTGGGATGGAGGGGACGGAATCATAGAGCCTTGAGCTTGAGGAAACTTGAAGAGCGGCACACACCTACACAAAGCCGGTGACGAAGTCGTGTCACTGCCCTGCGATCTACGCCGGACGGAAGTCTAGACCTAGTACCTACCTACCTACCTACAGGCACATATCGATCATGATGTATCTACAACCTCAAAGACCCGAAACACACGACTTGTCCAGCACGCACTACACTAGACTACATCGCATCACCTGGCACTTGCTGTCTCTCATCTAATGTGTGCCATTCCAGACACAGCATTGGCAAACCCTCTCCGTCTCAGCCAAGGGCCACAAATGGCGCATCTACATACAAAACGGTACCGAGTGTGTGACTGACTGAAACCGAACGGGACGATGAGGTTTGCACTTTACGTCGGACTGGTATCCAGATAGTCTCTCGTTCTATCACCGGAGCGTTACATGGCAAATGCCCAACATAGTGACAAGGCCGCGATGCCGCATCGCAGCATTCAACAGATGGAAGCTTCTCACAAATTCCTCAAATCCTCTTGCTCCCAACGCCAAGAACGATCCATTCAGCTGTCGGCCATGACGACACCGAGCAGAAAAGTCACTGCCAGGGCAGCAAGGGAGACCACAGCAAGCGCCTAACCAGGGGGGTGGGTCAATCAGGCTATACTGTGTAGTGTAGAGGTAAGCAGCCCCCCTGCAACCGTGCTGCAACAGTGCGGGTAAAGCTCTGCCTGGTGTCAGCTTTCAACTCCAAGGAAGATCCTCTCATCGAGTGAAGACAACCAATCGATTCAGCACGACTTTTTGTTGCGCAGGTAGGTAGAGATCAACCCTATTGAACCCTAACCCATCCTTCTATAGTCTAGTGTATATACCTCTCCTCTCCTCTTCACTCGATTTAAACTTTCTCGGTGTCAGGTACACTACACGTTAAGCGCATCTTGGTCTCGAAAGTTGGAGATCTTCAGCTTCTTCATCCAGGCGACCCTGTCCTCGGCAATCTTCAGATCTCAGTTCCAGAGCAGGCGAGCTAGGATGATAACATATGTCGAGGTACGCCAGGCTGAAGAGAACAAAAAGGCACAGATCAGCATCTCAATGCCCGGTCATTTCGGAGCGAGCGTGCGTGGTGGAAGGTGAATGGGGTTTTAAAGTGCTTGTCATTGTGGTAATGGCCTATTGGTCCCGCCTCAACCTCTCCCGTTTCCCAAACCTCCAGCTCAGCACAATTGGCCCGACGATGGAAGGCGTGGCCCGTGTACAATGGGGGATAAAAGATGCAGTCTGCTTCTGTTAGTGCTTCGTTTGCACCTCCATCTGCACTTTTGTTTGCACGTCCAATTGCATTTCCATTTAGGTATACATCCAAGGACATCCATTTCGTTGATATCCTTATTCCCAAATTGAACTCTTATTTATACCACAATATCCACATCAATTCCAGGGCAAAGGTTTCTCCCTACAGTCAAGCTACGGTGCAACCCAGTAGCGGTATCCAGCATCCACCCACGATCCAGCCTTTCATCGTCCTGGGAAAAGAAGGCATCTTGCTGCCTCACGGTACACGAGTCCCTTATTTAGGAACTCTTGCACAGCATCGCAAACGAGGTCAGCCTTGCTGCTATCAGGAGATCGGAATAAATTTGCGATGACTTCCACCAAACCGGCTGCTTTCTCTCGCCGTGGTTCCCCGTCCGGGAATGGGATCGAGAACGGCGAGGGAAGAGGAAAGGATGAATGGAAGGGGCATTCGAAGCGCCTGTGCTCAGATTGGCTGGTGTCTTACGAGTCCAACTTCTCGTAAGTTTCAGAAAATATGACAATGACGGCATATGCAGAGAAATGGTACTGGAAGGGCATCATTGCAGGAAATATTATTGCCCTCTGAAGATCATCCGAGGACCGCACTTTTACGTGTTGACCAATTCTGAACACAGATAAGCTGATTCTGGATATAGCGTCGCCAAAGACCGCGAATGGTTCACAACCTACACCCCCTTTGACTCCTATGTGCTAGACCACAAGGGTGTACTCATGGAAGTGTACGGCATCGGCCGCGTCACCCTCCCCGTCGAGTGCAGCGACCGATCTGATGACAATCCAACACAAGGTGCAGAGATCATCCTTCAGGACGTTCTCCATGTGCCCAAAGCGGTTTGCAACTTGGTCTCCAGGCATGATAGTGCTCTAGGGCGCCAGGAACTATGGACGTTGCCGAGCGAGAAGGACCCTTACAAGCGGGGCGTCTTCCAACACCAACACAGAAACGGGTCGAAATCGAATGAGCCAGGACCAGGTCTCGGCGGCGGCGTGGATGTCTGCGTGTACATGCTTCCGAACAGCGGCTCACTCTGCCTACTCGATTTGGATATGGATAGACCACCGACGGGCTATGCACTGGCGCATACATCTTTCCCGGTATACACCGATAGGAATGGCAATGGATCGCCAAAGATGCTGATGGATACGTATAGCGGCGACCTGATCCCGCTCACTTGGCCTGACAACCAGAGAGAAAGATGGAAACGGAAGAAGGAAACTGGGGACGACAACTGCTCGCGTACTATAGCCACCAATACTGGACCAAGGATCCAAAACTCGGAGCTGGTGAAAAGGCTCATGGATCAAAGGGCGGGACTCATTAGTCAGCTGGGATCGCTGGATATGCTCATTGATGACCTGCTGCAAGGTGTGACGCCAGCGGCGGCGGCGAGTGTCAACAATAACGCGGACACAACAAGACCCATTACAACAACGGGTTCCACAAGCATGGCTTCTTCTCCTTCAATTGTGACGCCAGCAGCAACGGCGAGTGTTGATAACTCTGAGACAACACCGACACCGGCCGACACGAGCACTACTCCTTCGATACCAGGGGCGGCTGTAGATCACTCGGGGGTCTGCTGCCATGGAGAGGAAGAAGACAACACTCAGGCAACTGAGGAGCTCGTTCGCACGGCGATAGAAGAAGAGGCCAAGGCAGAGGAAGACGCCCAGTGGGAGACCCAGTCAGAGGAAGAGCTTGGGACCATGGTGGCGGACGATAAGTTCAGCGAGTGGTATGAGGAGGTAAAGGATCAGATCATGGCAGAGTATGATGACATAGAGGATGAGGTCATGGCAGAGTATGAGGACGAGACTGAGGATGAAGATGATGGAGGGGTAACAGGGCAGGAGGAAATTGCGGCCAGTTCAGATTCGGAAGCTGGGAAAGCATATTCTCCGAATTGGGTTCCTTTTTCGAGCAATGGCTTGAAAGTTGCAGCCAAATCAGATTCGGCAGCAGGGAAAGCAAACTCTCCGAATTGGGTTCCACTTTCGAACATTGGCTTGAAAGTTGAGTGCAACTCAATCAGTGGTCGCTACACTGGCCACGTGATTGTTACGTTGCCCGGAGGTTGTAAGACCAAAACGTGGTCATACGACAAAGTTAAGAAAAAGAAACTGTCAGAGGAAGATAAAGCCTGGTTCAGAGCCATGTCGAAGTACACGCCACACTTCTTCAAATCGATTGGTTACAACGCCGATACGGATACATGGGAGCCGGAGAGGGGAGGGCCCGAGGACAGAGCACATGCACGTACGCTGTTGAAATGGCTCAGATATCACGCTCGTCCTCCGCTTTCTCACGGCGGAGAGATCAGGATCGATCTTGATGCAGGCGTCCTAGACGATCACGGCTTGAAAGCGGCAAAGGAGAGACTCAGAGTGCTTAGGGCAGCAGGCCGAGACCCAAGTCCTGAGGCGAGACAAGAGCTCAATTTTATTCACGAGACGACACTACGGCTAAGATCGGAGCTCAACATGAGCTACAAAGATGCCCCTGACGCGCGTATCTGGAGCTACAACGAGATCTTCGGCAAGTATTGATGCAGTTCAAAGCGACTGAAAGCTTGGGCGCCGAGGACTGGCTATACAAGAGGGAAGGTCAATCATTGAGGGAAAACAAGTAAGATTGTATATGGTCAAAATTGTTGAGAAAGCCTTGAACATTATGCAATCTAGGATAACCAGCTTTTACACTTGGATCAGGCGAAGACGCACCACAGTTCACACACACGTCTTCATGTCGGCGATTGTTTTATATTCTCACGAGCGTCTGATGTGCCCGTGATTATACTCTAATCATCCCATTGTGAAGTCTCCACACCCAAGCTCCCAGCACGAGAACCACAACGATGAAAGAAAAGACGTTTGCTCCGCCAAATATGACAGAGTAAAATGTCCATGCTTGTTCTTTCTTGAACTTCATCACCGTGACAACTATGGCCCATGGTAATGACCAGAGTAAGTTCGACCACAATGACTGGTAGAGAAACCACCGAGGAACAGTGGCTAGAAGGATGGAGGATAGCTGATAGTTGAGTGCGTAGAAGATGTAGCACCAGTCGATGTTCTGTCACGCGTGCGGTCAGTACTCTGGCTCTCAAAGAGAAGAGGAGAGAAGTCTTGCGCCACGCTTACCTGCCACATCTTCTTGGTAATGTCTGCGACACGTTCAGAGTTAGAGATGTAGAAAGCAAACTCCTTCATCCCCCACAAGGAAAGGAAGATGCAGATTGGGATCTCAACTGCCAGAGAGACCAGAGCCGAGTTGACAGCCGGGCGACTGATCCCTATACAGTTCAAGAAGTCAGCAACTTGTTCTGCTCACAGACAGCTTGTAACGAACACTCACTCTTGATTTCCACCCAACTCGCAGCAGGCTTGGATATCCCCTCCTTATCCTTCTTCCATACACCCCACTGATGTCCAACGAACGTCAAGGCCGACGTCTCCAAGGCCTGAACCGGAACCATCACCAGCCCCCACCTGATCGTGTTAAACACGCCCCAAGCCGTTGCATAATCCGCTCCAAGACCAATGATCCTATTCACCAGCCACAAGTAAATTGCATTCCTCACCGCTGACTCCGCAAAGGTATAAACCGCCTCTCTAGCCATCATCCAAAACCCCGCCGTCCACCACCAAACAACTATACCATTCTCACGCGCATCTCCCCTCTGCCTCTGACTCTCTTCCTCCTCCCTCACCTTTCTCCTCGCCACCCAAACGAAATACCCCAACCCCACTCCAGCAGCCGCCACATCACACGCCAACCTTATCCCCGCCTGCGCCAACACCGTCGGCTTGTACCCCGTCCAGCCGACATGGAACCACGAAAGGAACAACATATCCAACGCAATATTCACCGCAAAGCCCACCGAGCTCACCACCAGCGGTACATCCGGCCAATCCATTGCCCTCGTACAACTTGCCACCGACGTCTGCACGGCGCTCGTCAGCGCCACCGCCGCCGACACGCGGACATAGCTCAGACTCTTGTTCCTGACTTCAGGCGGGACAAATCCCGCCGCAAAGGACTCAGCGGCGCCGATGAAGATGACCGTCATGAGCAGGCCCATGGCGGTCTGGAAGACGATCAAAGTGTAGGAGAGCGATAAGCGGGTGGTGAGGGAGTAAGCGGCCGAGTTGCCGATGATGAGCCACGCGATGCGGGGAAGGCCTTCGTTGAGAACTTCGGCGATGGTGGAGATGTAGGTGTAGATGTCGGTGAGGACGACGGAGGAGGAGTCAATTTGGGCGATCCACAGCTTGGAAAGGGTTTGGTAGAGGGCGGGGAGGAGGAAGGCGAGGAGGTTGTAGGTTAGGGAGCCCCAGTACCTGATGTCATGTGGTGATGGTTAGGTGGTGACGCCCAGGGCGAGGGGGGTTTGACTTGGGACAGCAGTGATTGACATACGTGTCTCGACTGGGGATGAGCTTGTGAAGCTTGGATTTGAACGATGAATGTGTTGGTAGTGGTTCACCGTCATAGTAGCCATGGTCATGGGCATGGTAAACTGAAGGTTCGCCTGGCGAGATGGGCGAGATGATCTCATTTTCTGTCGGGTCCTTTGACGATAACATTCTGTATTGAGTATTTTGGCCTATAGCTCGCCACATTCTGTGAAATATGTCAAGGTCGCGATGGGAACAGCCATTCGTACCCTTTTATCATGGCAATTTCTTCAGAATGGAAGGTGCGAACCACCCAAGAGAAGGTTGGGGTACATGAGGGGTACGCCGGCTTCCGGGTGACGCCTTGTAACCTACTGTAGGCCTCATGCTTAGTGGCGCGCTTCACGTGTTGTGTGATCGCGGATGAAGGTTGCATGTCGACGGGATTGTAGAACCAAAAGCCACAATGCTAGACCAGAAAGAAAAGGACGCCAAGAGCTCTGGATCACACTCGCAAGTAAACAAACCCCTGAGGTGAAGTGGATGGAGGAAATGGGTTAGGGTTGAAAGTGTGTTTGTTACCATCTTCCGACCACCATCATCCAGAAAGGGAAAAGATTCCCGACCTCCCCCGCTTCCGAATTTCTTATCACTTTCTCACTTTCACTTGGCACTTTTCAGCTATAACCTAACGAAATCTGAAGGCCACAAAGCAAAGTCATCCAGTTGTTTTCACCGAGTGTTCAGACTGCACTTCCATTTAATCCGTTCACTTTTGCCCGCGGTCATCCCCGCATCAATCATGACTCCTCTGCCAAACCGCGTCCCCCTAACCACCATCCTTTCCCTCCTCGCTTTCTTGACAACAACCACTCCAACCCTCGCCTCTCAAAAGTCCCAGCATCCCCTAACCTCTTCTAACCCCAGCTCCACCACCGTCTCCAAGCCCGATCTAAACTGGCACAACACCCCCGGCCTCCCCTTTATCATCAACACCTGGGGCGGGATCTTCACCTCCGCCACCGATTCGGCCTTCCTGAACCTCACCTCCCCACCACCTCCAGACTCCAATCCCCGTCTAGATGTCATCAATGCCATCGTAGCCGGCTGTTCCACATGCGAACGTCTCCAATGCGACGGCACCGTCGGCCATGGCGGCTCGCCCGACGAAAACTGCGAAACCACGCTAGATGCGCTGCTCATGGACGGAGACACGCTGGACTCGGGCGCGGTGGCCAATTTGCGGCGGGTACGAGACGCGATTGCCGTTGCGAAGCGGGTGTTGCTGTATACAAGACATTCGCTCCTGACGGGCGATCAGGCGACGGAGTTTGCGAGGGAGAACGGGTTTACGGAAGAGGATTTGGGGACGGAGGAGTCGAGGGGGGTTTGTGAGGACTGGAAGAGGGAAGGGTGTAAAAAGGGGTCGTACAGGAGGAATGTGGTTGTGGTTGAAGGGAAGGGTGAAGGGGAGGGAGGAGGGTGTGGGCCTTTTGTGCCGGTTCCGGAAAAGGACTTGGGGGTTGATGGGGGTCTTGGAGAGTCTAATAACCAATTTGGGGAGAAGAGGGGTGGGCATGATACTATATCTATGATTGCGATTGGGAAGAATGGGAGGATGGCCGCTGGGTCTTCGACAAATGGTGCATCACACAAGATCCCGGGGAGGGTTGGCGATGGACCGATTGTGGGTAGCGGTGCGTATGTTGATGGGGAGGTGGGTGGTTGCGGCGCTACGGGAGATGGGGATATAATGATGCGCTTTCTACCTTGCTATCAAGCTGTGGAAAGCTTGAGAAGGGGTATGACCCCGACAGAGGCGGCTGAAGATGCGGTAAGAAGGATGGTGAGGAAATATCCCAGTGTGCAAAGTGGGATTGTAGTGGTGGATAAGGAGGGCAATCATGGGGCTGCGGCGTCTGGTTGGACGTTTACGTATGCCTACCGAGGAGGGCAAATGAGCGAAACGGTGGTTGTCACGGTGCCGCCGGTGGAAGGTGTTATCTCGGTTTCCGCTGATTTGTGACCGGCCAGATGTTTAGTAAGATCCCAGAGCCAACTCAACCAAGGAAAGAGAACAACAAATCCATTCCGAAACGTGCTAAAGGGGGTATCTCAAGAATCGAAGCAAACAAAGCCAACCAACTATCCAACTCGTACGAAACGAAGCATCGTCAGACCCAACATAAAGCCCCGCAGCTCATAAGGGTCATGATCCAAACAATCAAAAGTGTCGCCGAACTGCTCCCAATCAGACCTCCCGCAGCGGCATTCTCCTGGCCAGTCCCTCCCACATCGCCCCACGGAGTCCCTCCCGTTTTCACCACTTCTCCCGACCCAGCGATAACCTTATTGCCCGAAGGATACTTGATATCGTAGACCGGATCATCCTTTAGCGGATTCGGCGTGCCCAAAGCATGCTTGCACTGAGCTTGGTTCTCACTTGGCCAGTTCAGCTCGCACGGCTCGTCATATCCCCACGTGCAAATCGAGTCGAGAATGTTGTAAAGAATGTGGTTTTCGCCCACCCAGCTGCCGTCCTTGTGGTCGAGGCAGCTCGCCAAGAAGTTCATGCTGTTGGCCGCCGACAGCGGAAGCTTGTGTCCCTCTGTGTGGATCAAGTCCTTGCACTCGGAAGCGTCCAACTCCTCCGCCTGCATTTCGATGGGCCCACCGACGGCCGGCCGATCGTTGGCCCCGTGGCCCGTGACAAGATAGTTCCAGGCATCGTAGCTGATGTCGTGAGCGCCCTGGGATTGGTCGACGCGCAGGAGCTTCACGGTACGGTCGCCGTAAGAGAGAGAGACGCAGAGGTTGTTGCAGTCAACCGAACCGGGCCAATAGGCAATGCGATCGGTATCGACTTTGCAGCCGAGAACGCCGATCGAGGAGGAGTAGCTGTCGTGAGGGGTGGCCCAGACTGTGGTCGTGGCAGCATGGGTTGCGGTGGCGCAGTAGAGAGCATGGAGGGCGAGGAAGGACAAGCGAGATATCCAAAGGTTGGACCGCGTCAGCGGTTGTGTGTTGCGCAATGCGAATGAACGGGATTCGGTCATGATTGGGTTTCTAACGAATCAACTAACGGGGAAATGAATGACCTCGGGTCGGACAGAGCCGTATAAGTGATAGAACACAACTAAACAAGAGGGGCGAACCGCCGTCGCGGCGGGTTCTGCAACACCGACTCAGATGATGCTGGCGATGGACATATGAATCCCGATTGCTGCGGAAAACGGAGGAAAGAAGGGAAGGAGAGTAAAAAGGAAAGGCCACTGACGGCCGGGATGGGGGAAGGGACCATTCAACAGGGGCATTGGATGCTTGGAAGCGCCTGTTCCTGGCATGTCTTGCTTGTTCCTGGCCCGTTCCTGACGGGAAAGCGACCCTGACAATCTGCACATTGAGCTCAAGATTAACAAGCGCCCTATGTGGCCTAGCGCTGTTTCTTCTAAATCCACTGATTGGTCCTTCCAATTTTCCCCGGACTCGCTATCTACAGGGTATTCCTAGTCCAGCGTGAAAGGGCAACAAGAACCCCACCAATCGTGGAAAAAAAAAACAAATGGAGCAAATCCTGTTGCTCGGAATTGCAAATTGATTACAATGGGAATGCAAAATATAAGAAGCACCCAAAAAACTCGATCCACCCAGGGGTCGAACCTGGAACCTCCTGATTCGTAGTCAGACGCTCTGCCATTGAGCCAGCGGACCTTATTGGTAAAATGGGTTGACTCATGTCCATAAGAAAGGCTCCGTCGCTCGCTATCCGTCGCGATACATTCTCTCTCTGTACATGATCATACGATAGACACTTCGTCGTAGTCGTATAATACTGGCTTCTGGATGCTTGTTGAGTCTTATTCTGAGTCCTGACACACCCGAATTTCTCTATTCTACGGTTTTCTAGGGTTGAATCGAAATTTTTGATCTCTACCTATATGTAGATGTTAGATACTTTGGCGGCCGTTACAATGATGCAGCCGACAAGGGGGGTCCTAATCATCACCAGCAAGGCGGAAACTTACAGTGACAGTCCTTCATGCATATCTCCTCTTTTGTAACTTCACTGCTAGAGTGTTCCTCTCCTCAGCGACAGAAGGGTCGCGTCCCCACGTGCGCTACTACCTGGACTTTCTTGACACTCTCCATCGTTCGCAAAGGCTGCACACGCCTGATCCTCCATTGAATACACGCGGCTTCCCATGGCTTGACATCCCCTACGGATCGGGGTCGGGACCTGATGTGGATTTCGTGGGGACGGGCTGGAAAGCGGAGACTCGGACCTTGCCATTAGATCTCGAGACACCGCAAGCGTCCATCGAGGAAATGTATATTTAATACTGGGTATCGATGTCGAAAGGGGGAGCAGTCGTTAACGCAACTATAGGTTGAAGTCTCGGAGGTTCTCCAGCATATCCTAGGTGTATACTCAAGCTACTTATGCCTACAGATTCCCAAAACGTGAGCTTCCAGAACGCCTATTAGGTAAAGAAAAAACGAAAGAGACCTACCATGGGTCATCCCGGCGACTTATGAACCCTCCAAGGCTTGAAGTGACTGCGGTCAGGCACGGGCCTACACAAAACCTAGTTGTCACTCCCACACACACCGTGGAGTAGATAGTTTTCGTGATAGACTTGATGGCGGCTCGACGATCATGCAAGATAAGAAATACTCAAAACACAATTTGTTGGGATGGTGAAGGTTCTGGTGATTATTGTAGCTTTTGATCTTGTTGACATGACAACTGTAATCCAACAGCAAAGGGATCCGATGACGATAACTAAAGAGCAAAGCCATAGGTAATCGAGGTCATGACACGAATGTTGCAGGTGAGGGAAACCAACCAAGGGGGGCAGCCCCCCAAATTCACGAGACGACGAAGAGCCTAGTGTATCGTATCTATTAATATAGCAGCTCATTGCACAAGACAAGGACAAAAACTGCTCAAACAAGGCGCTAGCATGTCCCATCGCTTTTAGCCCGTTCCCTCATCACCAACCCCAACTACCATGCTATTATAGTGACACCATACTCATCCATCATGACTTCCTCCATCAGAACAACCCAAGTAGATCCTCGCTACCTCCACCACTCTTGGGGGGAGTCTGACTAGCCGGATGCCCCAGCTGCTGACCAGGCGGCGGCGGCGCACTCGTCCCGCTAAGATCCATGCCCGCAAACGAGCTCATCATGTCACCCATCCCGCCTGCAGCAGCCGGTGAAGTTGCAGCAGACGCCGACGGCATGGGCGGTGGTGCATCGAAAAGCCCCATGATATCCGCCATGCCGCCACTGGGTTGCGGTGGCGCACCGGGAAGACCACCGACGTTGGCCGGGCTGCCAAACCGATCTGGTGTGCCGGCACCGCCACCGTGCTCTGCGCTGGCAGGAGCGCCGCCGTCAAAATCGATGTCGAGAAGGTTCTCAACGTTGTTCTGCTGGCCACCTTTGGCAGCAGCAGCGACTGACGCGGCGATGGGGTTCTCGGCGGCGTTTTGGCGTTGTTCTTGGATGGCGGCGCGCTGGATCTCGTCGGCGCCGAAGCGGCCCTTGCCGACGAACGACTCGGGAGGCTTGTGGTAGACGGAGGCGAGAGTGGAAAGCTCGGAAAGAAGTTGTTCGAGGAGGACGGGAGGGAGGGATGTTACTGTTGTCGTAATGGCGGGCTTTTGAGAGAGAATGATGCTCTATAAACGCAAGTTAGTCAATGTTTACATATTCAGGGGGTAGAGATTGTGACAAACCTTGGCAACATCGAGATCGCCAGAGAGGAGACGCCAGTAGATATAAGCACGATCTCTGATGTCGGGGTTGTCGTTGTCTGCCGTGGCTTGCTGGAGGACCTTCTGTACTAGGCCTTGGGTGTTGCTCGGTTTCTTCAGGAACAGCTTGACCACGGCGGTAAGAATCTGCAGCTGGGTTTGCGTGAACTCTTCCAAGAAACCCTCGACGAACCCTTCCAGAATTTCATCGGCGTTGTTAATTTTCTCGGCATACTCTCCAACAATCCAGATCAAGGCACCCCTGGCGTTGGGCTCATCTAACTCGTCGATGTACTTGCAGAGAGTCGGAATGACACCTTCGTATCCGGGATACTTGCGGAGGATGTCCTTGATGACGACAATAACCTCTTGCACAACATAGTTGACCTTGGTGGAGATTAGATCAAGCAACGCGTTGACGCACTTTTCGCTAGCGGCCTCAATCTTGATGGCGACCTGACCGATGGCCTTGACAGCTCTCCGGACGAAATCCATGTCGACTTCAAGGGCATACTCCTTGAGCTCGGAAAGTAGTTGATCAAAGTTCTTGTCGTTTGCTATCCTGACCATAATTTCAAGCTTCTGGAGCTTGACGTACGGGGGGTCGTTGTATTTGCAGAAGAATACCCTCAGCTCCTTGCTGAGAATATCGGGATTGGCTTGCAGCAGAAGGTCAATGTTGCGCAGCGCGACATACTGAACCTCAGGGGCAGAAGCGATGAGCGTTACCAGAGGGGGAGCCATCTTTTTCAGGTAAGCGCCCACTGTCTTGGGGTTGAGAGCCTTCATGTGGGTGAAGACGACTTTGACGGCAGCCAAAACCACGCTGGGGTTGACGTGTTGGAACTGGGGCGCTACTCTTTCGCAAATGTGTTCCGATTCCTTGACGTCATGGGCAGTGTACTCGGCTAGTGTTGTCAAAATGGTGACCCTCCCCCATTCCGTGCACTCGTTCAACGCCATAAGCAGCTTCTTTAGGGTCGCGGGTGTGAGGACAAGCGCCCTGGTCTCGGGGGCAGTTTCGTGGATTTCGGACAGAGCCTGGACGGAGTTGGCCACAACCATGGGATTGGGATCGCCAATCATCTCTTGCAGTGTCTCCAGGAAACCGTTCTCGATGCACATTGTGGGGTTGAGATCGAACAGTTTGGCGACACAGATGGCGGCGGTCTTGCGTACGTAGGGGGACTCGTCTCGTAGCGTCTTTCGTAGCGGCTCCTCCATGTAATCAATCATTTTGTCGACACGAATGCAGCCCATTGTTCGAATCGCCAGCGCTCGAATGAGGGGGTTCGGATCTTCCGAGTCTTGTACGAATGTGTTGACGGCTAGAATGCAGAGATCGGGATGTGATTTGGCGTAGTTCCTGGACTCAGGGGTTAGCGCTCGTTCGTGAAGGGGCCAGAGACGAGGGCAGCTGGTGCTCACATCAAGTAGAGATACACCAGCTTCTTCTGGTCAAGGTCGGAGGTCGCAATGTTTTTGAGGACGTCCGGGAAGAGCGCCGACACATCCTTGCCCAGGGTCATGGCCATGATGGTCTTCTGGATGGCTTCCTTTCGCTCGTAGGCATATTGGGACACAAGGCCGGCTCGCAGCTCGAAGGTTTCGCCCTTGCGCGGCGGCGCAAACGCACCCCTAATGCGGTTGATAGCTGACATTGCGAAGGCGTTGTTGTTCTGCGCGCTCGGGGAGGAAAAGCAGTGGTGGAGGTGCTGACAAGGTCGAGATCGGGCGGTGAAACCTCGAGCTTCGACAAAGGAGATGGCGCCTCAACGTGTGGTCGTGGAATGGCGCATACACGGATGCTTTGGTATGTTGATCGCGGAGGTACCGGTAGTCGTAAAACAAAAGTGCAACCTGGCCGGCTGTAAGGCTGCGTGATGTTGTCGAGGGCGTGCTCCAGCCTTGGATCAGGTCGCCGGGTCGTCGCTGGTGTCGGGATGGATCACGACGATGATGTGGACGGGCAGGCAGATGTCCAGTGATACGCGCTGAATGGCGGCCACTGTGGTTCAACTGTGGTGTCCTCCCAAGTCACTGCAGCGACAGGCCAGAGCGTCTTGGCGTGAGCCTCGTGTTGCCCCACTCACAGGGTCCTTCATTGCTAGGTGCCCCGCCGGAAAGGAGAGCTTCAGCCACAGTGCCGTCTTTGGGGCATTCGATCCCATCTGGAAGCTGTGGCTTGGCACTTGGCGACGAGGACGATGATGATGGTTGTGCTTGGCCGTGACGACGAGGGACCATCCACTTCCAGTACACTGGAGCAGCGACTATTCGGCGACATTGCAGCTTAGACACATCCTCCCCTTATACCAATATTTTAATCATCTTCTCACATCTTCAAAAGTCCAACCTATCACCAGCATCGACGTCTCAAGTGTGAACTGGCAGAGGCGAGACAATGGTAATACTCTTCAAGACTGATCCTCATTGCTGAGATCCCCTAAACATGTTCCTAAAACTGAGAACCTTGAACTACAACAGGCCAACTTTCCCAACTTGCGTCGCCTCTTCATCGAGGCCAGGACGGACAGTGAAGAAAGAGACGTGTCCAGAAAAGCAGTACGTCATATTCCGGTGCTGCTGTTCAACCATAAGACCACCTAACATGATACTCCTAGTTCTACAACGCCGTCCTGTTCCTAAGCTCCGTCGCAGTCTTCAGCTTGATAGCTCAAAGAATGAACGCCACAAAGTAATTCCGAAACTGAGAACCTGTCTCCAATGTGCCATATTCTCCGCCCATTGCGTACCTTGATAAGTAGTCATACAAAACCAAAAGGGTATAAAACATCTCGTTGAATCGTACACGCCCATAATATAACCATGAAAAAGTAGTGGTGGTCCAAGACACTGGGTCTTGCTCCATATCAATCACCGTGACTTAATCAGACTCGCTCTCAGATCCCAGGAAAGCGAAATCCGCCCTGTGCTTGGCTGGACCTCTAACTCTTGCCTTTGGCTCCGCATCTTCTGAGTCGTCCTCGTCCTCGTCATCGTCATTTTCTTCGTCGTCCTCCTCAACTTCATCATCATCATCTCCATCTTCATCACCGCTACCCTCCTTCTCGGCCTTCGTCTTCTTCTTCTTTTCCTTCTTTTCCTTCTTGTCCGTTCCATCCCCACTTTCGTTCTCTTCCTCTTGATCCTCAGAGTCACTCTCAAGCTTCAGACTCTTCACCTTAGCCGCCGCCCTCCTCCTGGGCCTCCCGCCATCACCCAGTCCCCAGCTCTTCTCTCCATCCTTCACGGCATCTAGCTCCGCCTCCAGTTCCCTGCGCATCTTGATTTCCTTGGCCTTGGATTCGGAGAACCGCCCGGTCATGCCGATATCGGTGAGCATGTCCTTAAGATGCCTGATCTTCGCCTTGGTGTCGTCACCATACTTCTTGAGCTCGATTGGCCAGATCTTGCGAATGCCGCACTTGAGTAATTGGCTCTGGAGCTGCTTGATCAGGGCTTCGTCGGGAGAGAGGTCGGCGGATACGGACTTGGCTTTGCGGCCTTTGCTGGTGCTGCTGGCGGCCTCCTTGGATTTTCCGCGCCCCTTGCCGCCACGCTTCGGGGGCTCGTCGAAGACTTCAGACATGGAACTTTCGCCGTCGTCCTTGTCCGCAGGCGGGGCGTTGGTGGGCTTGGTTTCGGAAGAGTCTTTAGCGGCGCCCTTTTTGGGTTTAGCTTTCCGTTTGGGAGGTTCGTCGATGACTTCGGAAAGCTCGCTCTCGTCGTCTGAGGCTGATTTCGTCTCCTTCTCCACCTTTGTCACCTCGTCTTTTGTGTCCTTCTCCTTGGGGGTTTCGACATCCATGGCATCCGATAGCTCACTTGACTCGTCCTTATCCTCCAGTCCAGCCTCGTCGATTTCGCTAAGCAGGGACTCTGCGTCGGATGCTTCGACCTTTTTCTTCGCAGCGGCAGTCTTCTTGGTTGGTTTGTCCTTGGTAGCCTTGGCGGCGGGTTTCGCTCTCTTCTTAGGTCTTTCGGACTCGCTCTCCTTGGCTTCCTCTTCGTCATCGTTGTCGTCGGATGACCCCTTCCTCTTCTTGCCCGTTACCTTTGTCGCTTTGCGCTTCTTGGCCGGCTCCCCTTCGGATTCGTCGTCGTCAAATTCCTCCTCTTCGCTATCATCGGGATCGCTCAACTCTGACTCGGACTCTTGGGAAGGTGTCGCCTCCTTCTTGGCGCGCTTCTTCGCAGGTGCCTTGGCTTTGGCGTTGTTTTTCGACTTCTGGGTGTTTGGTTTCGCTGGAGCGGCCTCGTCTGGTTCTGCCTCGTCGGATTCTATCTTGGCCTACGATGGGTACACCTCTGTCAGTAATTGATTGTGGTCTCTCGGCGCTGTTCAATTGAGCCATCAACATGACTACTTACGAGAGTGTCCATGACAAGCTGCTTGCTCTTTGCTTTCCAGTCGCCATCTTTGAGAAACCCTTCGCCAAGTTTGAGCTTCTTTTCGACAGCTTCGCGCACAGCGTTGACGGTGAGCTCTTGCGGACCGTGGTAGATGCGGCGCACGGCATCTGCGATCTCTGTCTTGATTGTCGCATCAGCGACCATTTTGCGGGGAGGCATGGTGATGCGAGAAGATGCAGGTCAAGTTCAGGTTGTGTTTTCGGTGTCGCAATCAAAATGGCTTTCGAATATCGGTGTTAAGGATCGTCGGAAACGGGATAGGAAGATTGGAAAAGCTCCTCAGTAGTTTGACAAGATAGAATGCGATGAATGACGTTGGTGATCGCGTCCTGGTGAACGTGTCTGCGATCGAACAGACGCGAACAGATGGGGCCGGTGGGTTAGATGTGGACCCAGACCATGGCATTAGACAAGGGTCTTTGATGTTGGACAAAAGCGGCTGGCCCAAGCGTTTTGAAAGAGCTCTACTAAAATTGTAGGCCTAAGATCCGTGTGCAAGCGCTGCTATACTGTGCTCGACGACATCGATGCACTAAGTACAATTGAAGTTGAAGTCATCGCCGTTCCCCTTTTCGGGCTGAGGCATGCCCAAGTTGCGCTACTAGTTGGATACTATAAACCTTACACTTGATTAGTTCTTCCATTGCCTGTACTTACTTACTATCGTTATGCCGCCTTTGTCCCACTCACGAATCGAACGAGCTTTATCGATAATTCATGTGCATGCTGGCGTGTCTCTATGGACCTCTTGGTATTTGCTGGCTGCAGCTTATTGCGCTCCTACGTTCTTATGCTCCTTCAAATTCTCCAGATCTCTCTTAATCTTCCACCTTTGGGGTTACCGTCGAGGGTAGAGGCGTCGAACGCAGCCACCGAGGAATTTGGGATCAGAGGATCGTTCCGACGAGAGGTTTTGGAGGACTGTGGAAGGCTCCCAAGAGCTGAGTGAGCTACATATACATACATCGATAGCTGAAGCCCCATGAGGGTACCGCCGCCTTGAAAGATGGTTGGGGATGGCTGAGCGAAAACACACCACCACAGAGTGTCACCGTCCATTGCAGAATGCATGACAATCTCGTCATTTCTCAAGAAGCAACAGTAAGTTTGGAATCGGCACACCCAAAGAATGCCTTCCCTTCAACAAGGGTACCTCTGCCATTGACTACTTCCTGCTCTATCCCGCAGATGACGACTGGGATGCCCATTCCTGCCAAGTCGTCTTCGGGTCAGTATCTCCCAGTCCCATGACCTCCTCAAGCCCCTGCCCAGGTGCCATACTCCCATATTTCGCATCCCTTCCAGATTCCTCTGGAACAGTTCCGTCGCCATCTACAATCCCTACCTCTCCCAGATTGCCCAAATCCTCACCTTCCCCGGCGTCTCCTTCACAGGATGAGTAACTGAGATTGGCAGCGACTGAAGTCCTCCGACAACAGGATTGGCAAAGTGGTAGGTGAAAGATGAACGTGTTTTCGCTACAAAACCGCTCAAACACTAGCTCTTGGAAGACTCGATGGACATTTACGAGGGACGTGCGTGGAGCCTTGCACAACTAGATGAATTGTGCTGAAAGGGCCTAGCGATGACCTGAGCTCCGACCAGACAGGAACCATTGATGGAACAAAAGGGGGGGGGGGGGGGTGATAGTCTGAAGGGGGTTAGGGCGGATAGTAGTTAATCGAAGCGTACGCACGCCCGTTGCCGTGCGTGAGGTTTGTTCTGGATGAGGGATCCAGAAGTTGCCGTTGGTCGGAGCTGGCGGATGTAGCGGTCGGATGGCCCCGTCCGAGATCGGATCGGGATGAGCATCATCTTTGGGAATGGGAACGAGGTCAATCGGTTCGGACAATGGTGATAGACGTAGACACTTGGCTCTGTAAAGAACGAGGAAGAGCTTGGACGGTAAAACATAGTAACGAGCTTGGGTTGTGAAGAAGCAAAGAGTGACAGTTGAAGCTTGAGGCTTGTATCCCGAGAGGAAACGGAACGACCTGAGTCATATGTTCTATTATTGCGTACATTTTGTCGGCGATGGCGTTGACATTGTGTCCACGGTGGAGGTAATCGTTGGTGCTTGGAGGCTGACGCTCTATTCGGAGGTCCTGAACCAGGGGTCCTTGGAGTTAGATGCTGTTAACACCTGTGTCCATGTTTCAGTGTATCCCGCGCCTTATTCTGGAGGGTATTTCCAAGGATGGAGTGATTTACCGACCATAGCCCGTTCAATGCCGGTAATTTCGCCGGTGTCGGACACATCTGTTTATTTGCTGATTTATCGCCAACGCGCTGATGATCCCTTCAAGAATCCGGATCGGGTCGCCCACCCTGCTAGTTTTCAGAAATCTTTATCTTTTCGGTCTGTCCAGATTGTCCATGGTGGAAGCACCAAATGGGCTGTCATGTTGACACAGTCTGCTCCAAATACTCGAAGTACTTCTCGTTCCATTGTGCCAAGAACACGTCGTCGAACAAGCCCGGCGCCATGTCGGGCGACACCTCACCATGAGAGCAGAAGCTTGGTGGCATGCATTTCTTGTCGTTGACGGCTCGCTCAAATATCTTGATCAGGCATTTGCCACAGATCTTGTGATCGCATCCCGGCCTTGAGAGTAGATTCGCGGCTTCCGGTTTGTCTTGACAAATGTAACATTTTGGCCTGTGTGAGGGCGAGATATGAGGAGTCAGCAGAACTCCGAGAATGTCTCAATCCCGCACAGTCCTCCGTGATGGATGGCATGCGGATTTGGATGCAGTGAAACCTTACGTGGGTGGGAAGACCTTGATCCAGAAATTGTCAATCCGGCTGGCCCTAAATTCCGACGAGTTTGGGTCTGCGGGGATGTGCGCCAGAGTGTCGAATGATTGGCGATAAGACGGCGCGGGCTCTCGTTCGTGCTGTGTTGTATTCATGTTCGATATATCTTCTGTTTCCTTGCTGCTACTGGCGTGGTGCAGTGTTTATGGAGGACTGATCAGAGTCCTTGGCACGATTTGGTTTCTCGGGTCCGGTTTTGTAGTGCGATGTGAGCTTGACACATCCGACGACCGGGGCAGCGGTACAGCGATATCGCCGTCATCATCTGAGCCACCTTGTACAGTAGTTACTGATGATGGTTCGCCGGCGTTCTTCGAGCCGAGCCGAGGTGCACCTTGAACATCATCGGCAGTCGCTTATTCGTGGACGGCACCATTTCCCCGCACGCCACATCTACGGCGCCTTCCAGGGCTTGGAATTGGCTTGTCGCATCCCCTCGTGCACTGTAATAACGAGCATCACTGCAAGGAAGTCAGATAGAAATTCGAGCTATTCTTCCACATCCGGATGTGCACATCCCAACTTTTATTGACATTTCTTCATCTCCTCGAAGGACTATGACTGCCGCCAATTGATGGCTAATAAATAGTGCATCTGAACGTCTGAGCATTGACAAACTCGCACTCGCCCGGCTAGCTCAATCGGTAGAGCGTGAGACTCTTAATCTCAAGGTTGTGGGTTCGACCCCCACGTCGGGCTCAATTCCCGGCGGCGAAATGCGATTCATCTTTTTTGAACTTTTGCCCAAGTGTCGAACATGCCAATTGTTGTTTTGTTGCCTTTATTTTCCTATGTTTTGTCCATTGTCACTGACTTATCAGCCCTCCATCCAGTGTTCTCAAATACACCCGATATTTCTTGATTTCTATGTACCGCCCTACCGCTCCACTTTGACAGTTTGACTCTTGTCAATCGGGCTATCCGATTCCAATATTGAGTACGTGTAGAGGTACGCATCAAGCAACCCATATATTCCACAAAGCTTCTACGAAGGCCAAGTCCCTAATATCTGGACCTTCCAAGTTCTTCAATTCTATCGACCGTTATTTGATCAACACTGTATACTCGACGTCGCTTTTCCACCGAACCCTGGCCAGTCTCGACAAAACCGGACAGTCACAGACATTCACAACATCACAACCTTGCTAACCGAACCTACCCAGTCGCACCAAACGTCGGACTGAACCCCAATCTACCTACGTTCCACATCGATGACCGTAAACAGATACCCCTTTATTGGAGGTTGCGGATTACAAATACAACAAGATGTCAAGACATGGTTTGATGTGCTATGGTTATGCTATACCGCTATAGGGAAGCTCCCGCACGAGGTTTCGGAGGCAATATACCGGCGATCCCTGTCAACACACAGCCCTATGGGTATTGCGGGCTTGATATGTTTACCTGCCCGTGGCCCCGTGATGACAACTTTTATTATCCATCTCAAAAATTACAGCACGCACCCTTCGAACAACAGGCTAACGGGAAAAGGGACAAGATGACAGAACAAACGAGACATGCCGAGCTGCTAGATGCATCCAGTCACCGTCCGGTCCGGTCCGCCCCGACATTTGATGGATTGAACCAACCCGGGTTTTGGGACCAGCGCTACCTACATCCATGCGTACCTATGCACGACCCTCGAGAACCTCCTCCCAACTCCCGTTAACAACAAACACCGACGACCCAATTTCCAACGTCCGAATCCATACTCGCACCGATTGAACATCGAAGCGCAACTTTAACAACTACCCACCTCGTCATCCATTTGCCATCGTTACCGTTACGTCTTGATTCCAGACTACAATATCCTCATCATAAGCTCCCGCGATCGGTGTCCGCACCACACAAACACGACCCGATGTGCAGAAGTATTAGGAGGAGGAGGACGACGAGGAGGAATTCACTGATACACAGGGCAACAGTTTCAGTCTGTGGCATTACCGGAGTAGAAGTAGGCCCTGTGGAAGCAATAGAGTACCAGATCTACAGTGCCAGGCTACACACTACATAGCAGCTGCTTGAGACCATGTAGAATGCACAGTCGGGATCTCCCGAACTGGCTGCATGCATGTACAACACCTCATGTATGGTACCTACAGTATTATACGCGATTGGTCAGCTGTTGTTAGCTCAACATTGCCCATTTTGGTATCAGATAATCAACGAATGCAAACACATACCCACTCCTTATTGTTGTTGATGTCGCTGCAAGTTTGTTGGTCAGTGGCAAGCAGGTAATTCAAGTAGGCCATGTTCTCCCTTTCTTTTATTCTTCGCACAAGTCAAAGGCACATCAGAAGCAAAGAACAGTAACCATGATCAGCACAAAAGTATCATTAACTATCTAGACCTGAAATCGCGCCTTACTGCCCATTCGGGACCCCGAAGGGTGATGTTGGGAAACCAAGCGAAACCAACAACCAGAAGCCAGCAGGCAGAGGCTTGGATGAGACGCTCCGCTGGTGCCAAGTCAAGCCAAACTAATTACAACAAACTTGAACTCCTCTATCCCCAAAATACCCAAAGCAAAACCCAAAGCAAAACCCAAACCCAAGAGCAGAAACCAAAAGCAGAAAGCAGCCATTCCTCCTCTATAGTCAAACGCCAGAAAATCCAAAAGCAAAGACCCAAAAGCAGAAACCAACCCGAAAATCCAAAAGCAAAGACCCAAAAGCAGAAACCAAAAGCAAAAAGCAGAACATTCGTCCTCTATGGTCAAACGCCAGAAAATCCAAAAGCAAACAACCCAAAGCAGAAACCAAAGGCAGAAGCAAAACCGAAAACAAAGCAAGAACAGAGCAAGACACGAAGCAAAACTCGAAGCAGAACAAGAACAAAACACGAAGCAAAACTTGAAGCAGAACAAGAACAAAACACGAAGCAAAACTCGAAGCAGACCAAAAACAAGAGCAAAACGCGAAACGAAACTCGAAGCAGACCAAGAGCAAAACAAGAGCAGAAAAAAAGCAAAACAAGACAAAAAAACACACACACCTGAATGATAAGAAGATGGTACCTAAAAGTCAAGTCAGCAAACAGAGATAGAAGAGTGTGAACTTACCGACGATCTAGAGACCCAGGTCGAGTGGCCCGGAATGTGACCGAGCGCACCCTTCCCAGATCCCCAGACTGCCGAGGCTTCCCACCGGCTTTCTCCAGCTCAGCTCGCCTGTTCGCCTCAGAGAGACGGAACGCTTGAAACCGGGCATGGAGGGTGCGACCGGAGTTCAGCAGGCGGCGAGACTGATCGAGAGCTTCCGACATTGCTGCCTTCGGCTCAGCAACCCGACTCACCACCTCCGGACGCTTGTCCGGTATCGGGGGCTTGGTCCCCTCAGCGAAGTGCACCTGCTTGCGCTTCGGGGTTTTGTCTCCCTTTGGGTGCTCCTTCAGAATCGGCTTAGGCTCCGGTCCCATCTAGGTCCCTTCGCCGTCCACCTCCTCGTCCGAGACAGGCACACCAAAGTTCGACGCTGCTGTTAGTATGTGGGCAAGATCAGCAGCAATTGCTGCGATCAAACCTAGAGAGAGAAGGAAGGTTAGTCGAATCAGGAACATCGAAAAACCAGAGAGGGGCGGAAGGGGAGACTTAGCAGCGGAAGAGGAAGTCATGTTGGAGTTGTTGTTGTTGAGTGCAGTTGTGTAGCAAAAAAAAGTCGTGGTTGTCAGCAAGTGCAAAAGACGATTGTTGTTGTAAGAGGAAAGAGAAGAGAAGAGGGAGAAGTGCGAGTGGACGCGACCTAGTATTTAAGGGAGCAGGGCCCAGGCTGCCTGACGTAATCAAGTTTCACATGTCATGGCCTGATTTGTGAGGAAACGTGACCCACAGGAACTTGTGGGCTTACCAAAAGACGCTGTAATACTGTCAGAAGGTCTGTCGTAGAAGCCTGGGGGGCAAGACTTTGGAGGTGTTGAGGGCAGTATTGTCCCAGAACCAAAGTCAGGTTATAGTGAGCGAGGCCCCTAAAGGGCCGGCGGTAACATGACTATGGGGCATCATATTAGAGTGTACCTGAGTACCTGTAACTGCCAGCTACTGGAGAGGGAGTCAATAGTTACAGTGAGATTTTCTAGCTAACTATCAAGTGTAAAATGAGGAGTGTCCGGCGCCCGACGGGTCAGGCTACAGCAGTTCTTTCCCCTGTGAATTGTGCAATAAAACACCCGACACGTAGCATTTCAGGCGGCCCTAACAGCAGCGCAGGCCTCGCAGGTAGTGGCTAGCGAGTGCTTGAAGGGGAGTTGAGGTATCTGTGTCGAGCAACAACAATGGCAAACATCACCACTTTTTCGATATCAGGCATTAAAAGACGTTCAGAAACGGCCTGTTGTCAAATTAAGCTTGCATATTGTATTACATCCCATTGGTCAGCCTTAAATGTGGAGTGGCTGCACCCCTGTCCCGAGAATTCTTGGCTTGTCATCCGGACGCATGCCTCCCCTCGCGGCGATCACCGGCGGCTGCGATGCACTAGCTAGCGCCGGAAGGGCTGCATAACACATGTGCATTCGTCTGAACATCGATAGGGACGGAGTATTGATATACGATATCAGAGAGGACCTGTGAAAAGAGGACGTCAGCGGTGGTGTGTATATGTAGGTGAACCAGTTAAGCTGTACGTACCAGACAGAGGACAAGGTGCAAATGAGATATTTCCGACACCTGCAAAGACCAAGACACCGTAGGACAAGGTAAGGACAAATATGATACATGCAACTCAGGAGCACAATGTATAGGGGGATTCTTGCCGGTTGCGAGCACGGATGTAGGGAGATGTCGTGGTGTAAGGTGCCCCTGGTCTCTTTAACTCCCAGTTCCTCTTCTCTTTCCACGTTTCATCATGAACACACACAGTTGTTTGCAGCCACGCTTTCCAGTTTCCATCTGTCGAAGCCGTCACCAGTTCTTGGCATTCTCATGGCACCAGTGGATACGATCAACATATGGCTACCCTGTATATAAGTCAGCCTTGGTCCTCCTTCTTCCTTCTTTCTCTCCTCCTCTTCAATCAATCAAGATTTTCACCGCCACCATGTCGTTCACCGTGATCACTCCCTTTCATATGGTTCAACACCATCACCAGAAACCATTTTCTGATCCATTTTGCATCATCGAAGCTCTCTTGCACTTGACAATTTGAACTCTCACAACCACCAAAATGCTCTCCACTCTTCTTGTCGTCGGCGACTTTGCCATCGTTTACACAATCGGCATCATGTGCCATCTTTTCGAACTATTTCTGTACCTTGTCACAGGCGAGACAACCCTACCTCAAAGGTAAGCATCAACATCTCCTCCTTCCATCATCATTCTCATCGGCCCGCGCCAACTTTTATTCGCAACAGGGACAGCAGCAGCGGATTTGAAAGCAGCAGCAACAACGGCAGCAACAGCAGGAGCGCCAGCAACATCAACATGGCAGCCAACAGCAAGCGCGGCATCTTCAGCAGCAGTGCCCTCATCCGCACCATCAAGATCAGCCGTGGCGGTTGACCTGCTGCCTGCCATTCATGTTGCCTTCAGAGACGCAGACTTCACTCCGGTGTCGATGTATAAGCTCAAGCATGATACGGTTTTCAACCCCACAGGAGTCAGTTGCGGCTGGTAGGTCCAGCACGCTGATGGTCAGAGGATTCAGGCTTTCACCGGCCCTCAGACGGTAATGCACGAACGAAACATCGACATCGTACAGACCGACCCAGCGGCAAACTCTCGGCAACCCATCCCGTACAACCCTCTCAAGTATCTACGTGAGAGCATGAAGATGCTAAGGTGTTTTTGAAAAGGCCACTTGGAAACAGGCGCAAGAAAGGGTACGTGAGGTTTGCATTAGACGAGGAAAAGGGCTTTGCATTAGACAAGGGAAAGGAGTTTACATTAGACTGAAGGAAAAGTTTGGATGACTCTGGGGATTGGTTAAATGAATACAATGTTGCGTTTCTCTTCTTCATTTGCATGGTCTTGTTGTGCTTTTTGTCTTTGGTCACACATGGTCTAGGATGTCTTCCACTGATTCCGTCATTAACGGCTGTATTGTAGAGAGAGAGGTTTTGCGCGGTTGACATAAGATAACAGCTAGACTCAATTGTTCACTGAGCGCAACGCTATGTTGCGAGCTGACAACGGTTAATGGGATTATGGACATGGACCAGGCACGCGATCTAACAGTCGAAAAATAGGCGGATTATCCGTTAATGGTTCCAACGCGCGCCTTTACCACAGCTAAAGTCTTGATTGCCACGATAATTGTCATCATGGTAAGCCTCTACAATTTACAATCTAGCCCTGGTTTGTTTGCTAGGTAATCTGGTACAATACAGCTAAAACTTTACTGGCTACCTATAGAACAAATTTTGGCTTTTTATCGGGTATTTTGGTTTTAGAGGCCTATCTGCCAGTCTGGAGGGCCTTGGAGAAGATCAAGAGAGGCATTGGAGGATGCCCATCAGAGGTCTCTATAGCGTCACAAACCCTTGCCATTGTCCCATATCGCTCTACACGGACGAGAGTATCTCTTTTGAAAGGCCAATGATCAAGAGCTCCAGAACTTCCCTGTTCGACATGTCATCGAAATGCTAAACTACCTCTACCTAACAGACAAACGGGAAACTCACGATGTTGGCCACCCAGCTCGTCGTCTTCCAATCACTCTGGTCGATCGCGGCGAGCGTCCACTTCGATATCGCGATCCAGGCTGTCGAGACATCAATTGTCAACAGCAGCCATAACGACAGCAACAACAAGAAGAAAAGATGGGGCAGCAGGGAGATATTGGTGAGGCAAGAAAGGAAGATCAGAAGGCAGGAGAGAAGAGAATTTATTGTTGAGCGGGCGTATAGTTTGGGGAACGAGCTAAAGGGAGGAAAAGTCTCGCATGAACAGTGGACTAGAACTAGAACATATTGCGGGAAACGGGCAACTTTGAGAATGCACTAGAGCTGGGGCAGCCGTTCTGGGACAGAGGGGATTGCATACTCATCGTTGGCTAGGGCCTTTTGAATGTGTTGGGAAGGTAGAAGAAACGACAGAAAAAAACACTGGGACCAAGGCCAGGCGTGTTGGGAATCGAACAACGAGAAGGGTGGTGACCACATTTGGAAAGTCTTTGAGAGGCCGTGGCGAAAGATGGAAAAAGACCCGGATTGTATCTTTAGGAGGTGGATATTGAGTAGGACAGTTGCTACGCATGGTCTCAATTGACACATGGATCAGTCTTGTATATAGTCAGGGTCCCACATTCTCTAGAGGACCCGTGTTCTGTCTGCCTCCAAATCAACAAGTTCATCACCATCTCGGTGCTTTGTTCAGTATCATCTTGTGTCTATTCTTCTGTGGTGGTGGTGGCACCGGTGTTTGGATCATCGAGACACGGGACGGGCTGATTGGCAATAATCGGACGCAAAGCAAAATCGGGTGGTGTCGGTTCAAGTTGAGGTTTGTTTGTTTCGCTAGTTTCCTAGCACTGGTGCGTGCATAGAGAGGAATGAAGAGCGATTGTAGGTACTTAAGGCTTTACCTAGATTCTTGGTATCGGCTGGAGCATTGCATCTGTCAGTACGCGTGAATTGAGGAACGGAAGAAGACTTAGTGCTTCCGGCACCGACTCTTGAGTTTTGGTAGGTAATGTAGGAGATGGACCAAGAAAGATGGGGATTATGATGCGTGTCGGTCTTAATGGAGAGATCCAGCTAACTGAAGCTGGAGGGAATCGCCAATATAGTTATAGCCGGCGATACCAAGCATGAAGGGTTGCGAAGGAGGGGATTCGGGAAGTGCCAGAACCCTCTATCAAAGACAGGGGTGCAGGGCAAAGAGGCCTCGCTGCACCAGTAGACTAGCGGTCTAAGGGAAAAACGCCCAGAAATTTCTCGTACAATGTGAATGACTAGTGTGTATCAGCTCTTGGCCTTATCAGCCTCTTTTCACGTTCGTCTGTCCCAAGGGATCCTTGAAGTCGAGAACCGACCATAGCCATTTGGGTGCAGGTTGCTTGTTTCGGACCGGACCCTTTGAAATGTTTCAAAGGCTCAGCATCACAGCCTTTGGTCTACCAAGATACCGGCCCTCCAGGGTGCTCGACATCATAACTCGTCATGTCTGGGTATCCGACAGCTTTGTTGCCCGTGTTTGCCTTCCGTTTCGTGGGTTGGGATTGATTGGTTCGGTTCGTCTTGGGTCTGGCGGTTACGAGGAGACCACTGCGGATGAAAAAGGCTAAGCGCTCTCGCTAATCTTTTTGGTGACCGAGGGCAATCCCACTGGCGACGATCGTGATGCGCGAAGAGGCGCGCTGCGAGATGCCCTCGATGGGCTCGGACGTTTTACCCTCGGGGCTCGTGCATTTCGGACGTATTGTCACCCTCGGTGTATAGATCCTCGGTGTTCTGGCGCGCAATGACTATATCGGGGAGCTTCGCGGGCGTCACGGCGCACTCCGCGGAGCCTCGGTTGACGTACAAGCCCGATGTCTTGCGCAGGGTGACGGATGTATGCACTTGATAGCGACGTTCGTGATTGAAATCTTGAGCTGATGAGCTTGGAAGCGGGTCGGTTGCTCGAGAGAGTCCTGGTCGTGAAACACCAGAAAGATGTGCTCAAAGCTCTTCGATCGTTCACAAGCAATAAGTAAAAAGTCGATAAAAGAAAGCAAGAAAGATTTGGTTGCTCTCACTGACATCCCCACAAACTGGTCCTCGGGTAGTCTCTCGTAGCAGTTAGGGAGCGAATACGTCTGCGTGTGGTGCCATGTTCGTTGTCTGCGGTTCGCGATCGGAGTCAAACAATTAAAGACCAAAAGGCCATTTCTTGTAATCCTTGTTGCATTGTGCGTTGATAACTTTTCTTGGATCCTTATCGATATAGAGGTAGCCCGATGGCAGCCCCCTTGGTTAGCGCCAGCGAAACCAGGACACCACACCTGTGTGGGTACCAGTTCCTGCTGCGATTGACAAGTCCCAGGACCTTCCAACTGAACAAGATTCACCTTATTACACGATCTCCTCCTTGGCATGTAGAGCGGCGAGATATGTGAGTATGGGCCATGGGAAATAATGAAGTAATTCAGCTCACGATTGAGAGCGTTCAACGTACATACACACAGCATACATGTTTATCGGTTCTCAGCTCCTCCCTCCTCTAATAGATAGATAGGTATTCAATACATATACCTGTTACAGACCTTGATGCGTATGACGACCAGAATTCGAACAACTCCTGCCCTTTCTACATTTCTTCCCTGGGCACATGATCCGGAACGCAACAGTGAATCCCATATTAGTCTACTTGTTCAAGACCAAGGAAAAGTAGACAGTGAACACATCAATGACATACTGACATGTTTTTGTGATTGTTTCAGCCAGCTGACAAGTCAGAATGCGAGAGCTGACCAAAGATATCGCTCTTGTCAGTCGTCGAGCGATCCCTCAGACTGATCATCCTCCTCCTGGTTTGACTCAGCATCAGTGTCATCGTCCATATTGTCGTCTTCATCGCTTGTTTCGCCATAATGAATTCCTTCATTAACAAGACGCCAGTTCAGCCAAGCATCACTACCTTCGTTGTCATCACCACCCTCAACGCCGTCACCACCCGCGGGGGGACCCCCTGTTCTGGCCGGATATTCGTGTACACCGTTCTCGCATTCTGCGACACATGTAGTCCGAAGCTCGATGGTATCACGGGGCGGCTGGCGTCTCAAAGCAAGGCCAGAGTCCTCCAAAAGAACCGATCTTCCATGCGGCAGACTTCTCACCGGTCGACGAGGCCTAACTTTGCGAGTCTTCGCGGATCGAAGAGACTGACGCACTCTCTCGTACATCAGGTCAGGATCGGTGTCACCCGGAACCGGCTCATTGCAGATATGGCACCAGTACCCAGAAAAGGGAAGATCTTGAAGCGCTTGATCTGCATCTGGACCAGTAAGCTCCTCCCAGACTAGTTCCCATCCAATTGTGCAGTCTTCGTCAGTGATGAACTCCCCACACAAATAGCTGTATTGGGCCCAGAGTGGCCACAAACGACTGCCGGAAAATAACCGCGAGCCAAAGTCAAGTCTGTCCTCCCAATCAATAGTATCATCAAGGACATCTTCATAGTCGTAGAGAATAGTGACAATAGTCTGCGTGGTGCCGAGACAGTTGTTGAAGAGTTTGTCCAGAGCACACCACGTGCATATTGCTGCGGGTGCATTCTTGTGAATATTGAAGCATTCCTTATCCTTGTCAACCTTGAAGAAGTCGAGATCTCGAACAAATGCATGTTTGACGAAGCTCATATCCTCTGCGAGGGTAAAGGTAGTTGGGTTTCCATATTCCTCCGTGAAGTCTTGAAGACGGAATTTGAACATTGCGCGACATGTGATCGAATCGATGTAAAAGTAGTCCATTGACGGTCGCACGATGATGTTCATGTCGAGGTCCCAGGCGCGGATACTGACATAGCGCTGATTGCGAAGGGCCGCAATACGTGCCTCCTTGCTGACTCTCAGAAGGGGGTTCGAGTTGTACTCTACCAGACGATCGTTTTGGCAGTGTCCCTGGATGAAGATGTACGGACGCAAGCGAATGTTTGTGGGATCAGAATGGTCGTCCGGGTCGTCCATGCCCCAGATCAGTGTCCAAGCAACGGATGGATTGTCTTCGTAATCATTGAGGAATTCTTCCCAAATCATGAGGCGTATCTCGTACGGAAAGTTGGAGAACTGGTGAAACTTCTTCCGCAAGCGCTGATTGAGTCGTTGGGACCTTGCCTTGCGGGAACTGGGCTGCTGCTCTTGGGCGGTGGCCAGTGACCGCGTGGTCATCTTGTGGGTGCGCATCTCGACGGCGCTGTCCATTTCAGGGGATTGAGGCCCCAAAACGGGCAAAGGGATTAGACAGTAGACAGGTTGAAAGGAATGAAGTATGGGAAGAGTTGATTCGAAGTACGAGGGTTAAGGAGCTCGACTTCAATTCAGTGCGACGGAATCGACGAGACGACGAGGGGAGTGGGAGGAAAATTTTTGATCGAAGGGCGGAAAATCAGGCATCCATGACAGACGTAGTCTTTGAAAAGGTCAGAGGGAAGGAGCAAAGGGTCATTTAAGTGTTTCTTGCTTGTCAAAAGCGGTCAACAGATGAGTGTCCCAGTTGCAGTGGTTGAAAACCGGGAAGGCAGGCACGCCTCAAGAGAAGTCAAACACCCCACCCTTCGAGGTCCAGCCCCCAGACGGACTCGTAGTGACAGTGGCCCACTGACGAGTGTACCGTAGAATTCAAGTTCTGGGGGATAGCTTTCCAGGGAAATCAGGCATGGTCTGTAAGCATACTGCAAAATGCCTCATGCCCACCAACATTTCTATGGAAGACGGTGACTCTGAATGTCTCTACCCTCCAGTGCCTTGGAAAGATAGGTCAAAAAGGTGGGGTACAAGATGAATCGAATCTACAGTGCTCCGGGGTGGCAACGCATCTCCCTTATTCTTTTTTGCGGGCATAAAATGTACATATTCAGGCAGTATGCTTACAGATCCTGCCTGCCCTGGTTTCCTTGGAGGTTCAAAAGCTATCCCCCGGAGTTATACGGTACCTCTTGGCAGGAATCTTTGATGCAGTCGGAAATGTTTGCTGCAGATGATGTGAACGCAAGGCTACGGGTTAGTGACAGCCTGCCTACAACCTTTCTTGCCCTGAATCACCTTGTGTAGAGGTACCCAAGCCTCGGGCTCTTATTCTGTATCCACCATTTCCAATTGCGCCTAAATACTGCTCCAAACTCAGATGTCTCTCGGCTACTTATAGGGGCCGTCCCAAACCAACATCAACCCAGTGCTGCGAGGGGCCAGGGCCTATTTTCTCTCCAGCGCGTGTGTTTGCTTTAATCCTTGACTAACCGACACTGCTATAAGGAAATCGGACCTCTTCAGACACGTGGCTAATACTATTTTGGTTGCCCGTTCGAAAGCGACCACGATCCTAACCGTGACGCCGAACCCCGATCGTACCTATAAAAGCACCACCTGCCACCGCAAGACCGACCGCAAGCATGGACAGAAGCGCGACCGTAACCGCAGCCACGGCCACACCCCCCTATCTTCATCACGTCGCTACTCGATACCGCCCACTCCCTGATTCGATAATCGTGAAAGCTACCGATAGCGAGCTGAAGTTCAGGCCCTGTTGCTGTAAATGGCGAACTGAGAACCAAGCCAGTGGTGGGCATACCATGTGGGCGCGTCGCACGTATACAGCGAAGTGTCGTGACGATGGACAGGTTAAGAGGTAACCAAAGTACTCGTCTGGACTTGAAACGTCGTTTTGTACTTAAGGTTTCGCAACTTTCGAACCAACCCAACAGCCACTGTCGGCCCAGGTAGAGCCTAGGATGTTCAAAGGGCGCCATTTCTAGCCCCAATGACTGGGATTATAGATATTGGTGAAGAGATAGACAGATATGCGGGAGAGCATGAGGACAGAGAAGCATCCGAGGAGCTTGTATAGCCATTTTGCAGGACGAAACTTCTATAGCAAGCCACAGAAGCGGTCAGACGCCCTTCAAGCGTTCCAGTCAAGAGCATATTTGTGATCTCATCCCGAATCGCTTCCTTGCTCTTGATCTGGCCTCTGATACAAGAAGTGAAAAGTCGCCCAGGGGAAGGTCCTCAACCGTCATAAATGCCCTCCCTGTTGAGGTCCAGCACCCGAAGCTTAGGACGTGATCGTCCTACTTGAGAAAGTAGAGTGGGACATCTGGTCGGCTCCGTACTCCTTGTTCTGGGTTTTGTTACCCCCCATAGCACTTGGTAGCCCCCTTATGCAGGCCAGTACCTTACATCCACCCGTCGGGCAAAACTTGTCTGTAGATAGCCCAGTCCTCGAATCGCATTCAGTGCAAGGCCACCCAAGGAGACAACAAATCATTCATCATCTACTTCGTGGTAGCATGTATTCTCCCGTTGATGTATCTACTGTGGTACCACCGTACCTAGGTAATCTACAGGTCTAGGATCTCGGATCTTTGGTTGGGACAATTTCTGATGGTTGGTGTGAATGATGATGGCTTTGTTGTGTCCTCCCCGTGGTTCGCGCCGCTATGGGCTTCAGGCCGGGCTCTTACAGCTCTCTGCTGCGGCGCTCGCCCATTGATTCGTGTAGGACCCAGTCTCAGCCAGGCCGGCCCCGGCTTAGATCTTTTGTTGAAAGCATTTCAGATAGAACAATGCGATCCAGACAAGATGATGATTTTTCATTCGGGTAATTCACGCTTGAAAAGGGCCCGGGGGGACGAGGCAGAGTACGCCCACATTCTGGGGTTTGGAGGTGGTTTGGAGGGGTTGGTCACGACTGCCCACCCGATAGCGGCCGGCACCAAAGCGGCGATTGTACAGACCTTATTGGCTAATCAGGCTTATAAGTACCTCCTAAGGTAGACGGGCTAGTAGAAAACATCCATGGTCAGGGGCATAGGGTTCTACACCAGTATCAGTTGTAAGGAACATCTTTTCGTGATGTCTCATTTGCGAGGACCGGCTGAATCTCTAGCATGGACTGGAGCGGTACACCTCTGCCGGCATTAAACTTGTTAGCTTGGTCCCGCCACCCTACAGAATTCAGGGTTTTAGATGTGGTCAAACTAGCCATCTTTTGTACGAGAATTAGAGTTCTTGCCACTTGCTCATCATCGCGCTAATAAGTTTAATGCCGGCAGAGGTGTACACCCATTCGAATGATTACCGATTTCAGCATCATGCTGTTGCTGCTTCCATGAGAACATGGCCTTCCATCAAGCATCACCAGGATGCCTGGTATGGATCGACATGAGCTTGTCATGTGGCTTCAACCCTAACCCCCCATCCTCTCTAGCATCATGTCCAACCATCCGATTCCCAAACTGAGTGCATCAAAACATTCGTCGGTTTGCACTTATCTACGCTAGTCTCACATCTGTCAAGTTCTGTTCTCTCCATTCGCGATTTCTCTCGACTTTTTCCCCATCGATAATTCCACATTTGCCATGGCTACCTCTAGGTACAATGGCAGACAGGACAGGACCGGTTGAAGCCTGCCTCCGCTCATCAAAACATGGGTAGTAAAGCGGGAGCAAAGTCAGAAGGGCATCTGGAATGACGACATGACCACATAGTGTAGATCCCATCTTGTTCCTGCCAGGCAACGAATGGGGAGATCTCTGGACGCGTACGCTCGGGACGGATGCAATGCAGATCATGGTGTGTGCTGTTTAACTCGTTCCCCGCACCGTCACCACCAGGCACAACAGGCAGCTTCCCAGCATCCTTTGCAGTCCGAGTCCAAGAAACACAACGAAACACATTTGATCGACCGTCTTGAAGGCACCACCTCGACCACCTAGCAACCATCTGCACTTCCGCCACATCGGGTCGGACTTCATCTCGGGTGACACACAGAATTTGGATGACGTCGCCGTTACGGATGTCTACCAGCTGACTTGTCTGCATCTCCGCATTGTCCTCCTTCCCGTGCAGCAACAGCAGTGCCATCATGCTGCCCATGGGAAGGAATAAAGTGTGTGCCCTCTGCTGTTGAGCGATCCGGGCGATTCTCTCGCTGTTCTCCCTTTCATCAACATATCACCAACCGGCTTCTTGGGTAGTTGAACTCGGTACTTTCAAAGCAACATGATCCATCCAGAGCAAGTCGCCGACATGCTTCGGCCCACCACATCCACCACATCTAGCCATGTGCCGGGACCAGTCCCGACCGTGATCCGTACGTCTCCCGTTCCCATCTGTCAATTTTCTCCCGTCAGACTGGATTCCCATACTAACAATACATGAACCAGCTACCCCAACAGAGTATCAAACCCTTGGCGAAACAGGCCACCGCACTCTATGGGTGACCTTCGCCCTCATGGTACTCTCGTCGGGTATTTTTGCCCTTCTGTCGTGGAACGTGCCGACCTCGAAGCGTCTGTTCCACGTCATCACAACGCTCATCACAGTCGTTGCCTCGCTCTCGTACTTCGCCATGGCCACGGGCCACGCCACCACCTTCAACTGCAGCACCGCCTGGGACCACCATAAGCACGTGCCCGACACCTCACACCAGGTGTGTCGCCAGGTGTTCTGGGGCCGCTACGTTGACTGGGCCTTGACCACGCCGCTGTTACTGCTGGAGCTGTGCCTGCTGGCCGGCGTTGATGGCGCTCACACGCTGATGGCGATTGTGGCGGACGTGATTATGGTGCTGTGCGGCCTTTTCGCGGCGCTGGGAGAGGGAGGGAATACGGCGCAGAAGTGGGGATGGTACACCATTGGATGTTTCTCGTACCTCTTCGTCATTTGGCATGTGGCGCTTCATGGCAGCAGGACTGTTACAGCCAAGGGACGTGGTGTCTCGAGGCTATTCACCGGTTTGGCTCTGTTTGCGCTGTTGTTGTGGACTGCGTATCCCATGTAAGTGCTTCATTCGTAATCGTGCGCCTCCTGGTTGTTGCTAACAAGACCTCCTTTCATAGTATTTGGGGAATCGCCGGTGGTGCTCGCAGAACGAATGTCGACACCGAGATTTTGATTTACACCGTTCTCGACTTGCTCGCCAAGCCCGTCTTTGGTTTCTGGTTGTTGCTGAGCCATCGGGCTATGCCCGAGACCAATATTGACCTCGCTGGCTACTGGTCTCATGGCCTTGCTACTGAGGGGAGAATCCGCATCGGCGAGGAGGACTAAGCGGCGATCATTGAAGATGAAGGTTGAGTACGTGGTAGACGATGGTGTAGGGTGTCGGAGACGCCTTGAGTCAATGCATGATGGACTTATTGTGGGTATTGGAGCGTTCAGGTTAAGGAACAACTTGAGTCGGCTTTCTAGGCTGGAGAAGGACGTTTTGGTCATGATATTACGGCAATGAACGATTAGGAGAGGTTTTTCTTGGCAGTCATTTTCACTACGGCTAAAAATGTGTATAATTATAACAGCTTATCTTCGAGTAAACCTACGGAAGACACAAATGAAAGAAATTGCATTGGACCACAAATGGTTCTTGTCTTGCAACTGTTTTGATCATTGTGGGCGTTCAACTACTGTTAAGAGTTGCCTTTTTCCTCCCTCTACCGAGGGGCAGCTTGCCAGGTCGATATCAACTTGAGCGAGGCATTAGGACCATCAGCCATCTCTTCATCAAATCATCCAACACTGACATTACAGCCGCATCACAGATCGCATAATCCCATGATGGATGATACCCTACACTACTGCAGATTTAATGACGATCAAAGGCATGTGGACGAACTAATCACCTTCTCTTTGCAGTACAGCCTGTGTTTTTTTCCGCAAGGGCTCAGGCGAGAATTGAATGGTTTTGTGAATTACATGACAATGGTCAGCATTTACTTTTTCCCCAAGTCCTGATCAAAGCCAGAATCAGCATGCGTGAATGTGCAGATATCCCTGTTTGTACATATGATCGCTCAACTAACTTCTACTCGGCCCCGTCACAGCCAGGGACGGGTGAGTTGACGTTGCATCCCGCTATAAAGGTCGCAGTGAGTTATGCGGGCTTTTGTTCCTTTTTTCCGCTGTGTTTTCGAAACCGTTATCTCGACAGGGCAGCGGGCACTTTAGAGGAGAGTGCTTCAACTTCCATTCTCTTCTACAAAACTATGGAATCACTTCGTGGCATGGATGGTCGCTCTGTATATGCTTTGCTTCTGTGTTTTCCCTGCCGTTCCCGCTTCCGCTCCCGTTGCCGTGGCCCTTTTGTTCCCTTACGTACCTTACTAGGTATGTATATCCCCCTTCCCTTGTCATTGAAGGGCATGAAATCGTTGTCAGTCGGTTAGACGCCTCATCAGATCATACATAAAACCGTTTCCATTGACTGCATGTATAGACGGGACGGAGAAGTGTACTTTGAATTAAACATGACATGTTCTTGACCAACAAAAAGAATCCTGTGCCACAGCATATGACAAGGTCAATAACCGATCCCCCTTTGGTGAAGGAGTCGCGGAAATATATATAAACAGGATCAGTAGCTCTAGTGGCGGTGACAGCCCTTTCTCGTTGCCGGCTTAAGCCATGAGGCGGATATAGTAGCAAAAGGGGGGATCTCTACATCACCACCATCTACGGCACGTACACGATACAACATCAGCGAAGGTGGTTCCCCTCGGAAGTAACCAACGCTACATTCCACTTTCTTTCTTCATGAGTGCCCAGTCTGATGCAGGCTAGCGACGGGAGGCTAGGTATGGTTGGTTGCAGTTGCTAGGTAAGGTAATTTGACAGGGCGAGACGGGCACTGACACGTACATTCGGGAGGGTTGCATCATGGGAGGTTCAAGGTTGTATCCGTCGAGTCTTTTTATTATATGTCGTCGGTTTCTTCTTCTGTTTTTGGGTGAAAGTTTGCTATAGATTGCACTTCATAGAGGGATACGGTGTTTCATCTTCTTTTTCACTTGTCGCGAACGATGTGATTGTTACAGAGTCCTGCGTAGAGAAAATGACAAACAACTCGGAACTGAAACACGCGAGAAGGGAGAACCACGTTTCCACGGGATCTAATAGAAGGGATTGCGTACGTGTTCCCGTCGGGTGTTGCTATTTGTTTCTTTTTGACGGAAACGGGACGACGTCTGGAAAAAATGCTGTTGAGACACCAGAACTCTTTCCAAGGAATGTCTTGACATATGAAGAATGGAATGTGAATATTTCCATCAACAGGATGGAAATGACGAAGGCACTGGAAAGCCCTGCGTATGTAACATTGTAACGGATGCGTAACTGCGTATCGACTTTAGCCTGAATACGATTGTTACGCTGAATGCTGATAAATACCGGGGTATGGGGTAGAGCTAGTCCGGATAGGGAAGTGATGAGCACTTTGTATGTACGTGTAAGAGTGTGTTACCGGTAGCAGCTAATTACTGTCTATGCGCAGCGCTCGCTGTCTTCAGAATTTCGGTTACCTCGACGACATCAAATCGTGATGATGGAAGCAGTCCGGGTGGGGTGGATTCTTGAGCACAGAAAGTACAGTGTGATGGAACGGAGAGGCATGAAGCATAAAGCGTGCATAGACCTGTGGTGGTGGCCAGCACAGCGCAACTGTCCGATGCCTCAAATAGCACAGCTCTCGGTTTGCACAACGTCGAGGGCGATGTGCGACACACCGGAACGCGGGCAGCGGCTACTCAGAGCCCCGACCGTTTGCGGCGAAGCTTCAGGGCGCTACGGGCCACGAGCAAGTGTCAAGCGGACCGGACGGTCAGTTTAAGGCACTCGCCCTGTTCGTTCTCTCGCTTCGGGTTCCCGAAACCGTTGGTGAGCCGGGAAGATGGGACTTTGTAATCACTTACCCTTTTTCTCGCACTCAATTTCCTTGCCACCTTTGTTCTTGTTGTTTTCTCGCGTCGGCCGATACGGCCACCGCAGCCGTAGCCATCAATTGGGGTTTTCGATGCTCGATCACCAGCCATCAGGAATATCGACAGTCTGATCAACCTTAACAAAGGCCAACTTCAACTCGATCTGTCCCCTCACCTGACTGCTTGCCGCCACTGTCCCCTTCGCCTAACAAGCTGCCAACGCCACCCGAAACTTGTGGCGTCTGGGGTTAGAAAAGGTTTGCTTCTTATTGGAGTCATCAAGCGGGGTAGACGGCATGCGGAAACTGGCAAATTCTGCGTAGAATCGACAGGTCGAGAATCGGAATGGCATTTCCTGTCTTTCTCGAACGAGGCGCCTCGGCGCTTCACCTGACAGCGCCAAGGTCGATCTTTTTTTTTTTTTCGAGCGAGCCAAATACCGAAAGCGACTCGAAATCTGATGATGGACAATGTCGATATAAGCCCAACCTGGTATGTCGCCGTTCCAGAGTACACTAGATCTCGTTGTACGTTGGGTTGAGTTTTGGATAGCCAAGCCGTCATCACGATGGAAAGACCGGCTAACTGGCTCAACTGGAGCAAGGAGCAATCTTGATGGTCACGGCATCTGTTTCGTCGCCAATTCTAGACACAGTTAGCATCTGCATGCTCCTCAGGTACATAATTGGACAGCACTCACACGACTATGGAGTTGTTAGGAAGCAAAGGGGTTGAAGAAAGCAGAAACTCACCGTTACAAGATGACAAGACCAAAAGCGTTGCCATGGCTAGACAGAGGTTGCCCTTAGCTGGCACTATCCAGAACTGATATCTGCTTCTCCAACCTTTCGGCTTGTGAACGAATCATCCTTCGCAATATGCAAATTCGCTCCCGGATCGCGAATGACAACGCCTCCTTGCTAAAGCGGCACGGTACGGCAGAGTGGCCGATTCTGTTGGTCAGAACCCCCCCCCCCAGAACGGCCCGAAAAGAAGACAGAATAGGGAAAACATCCGGCCGTCGACCTCCAGTCCTCTGCACCGCGTACCCAATAGTGGCACACACGACCACAACATGGAAATAAAAAGGATGCAAAAGGGGGGGGGGGGGGGGGGGAAAGGCCCCCAGCGGGGGGGG